GAGGAAAAAATTTAATGAATGCGTCAAAACGCAGAGGATTAATTAGTTGTAAAAGAAACGAAAAATTAAATTTTATTTGCATGTTAATTGTTGGTTTTTGGTGGTTGATGAACAGGGTTTCGGTGCAATCTTCAAATCGAGTTTGATTTTGAAAAAATTTTTGTTCCATTGACCAAGTTCTGTCTTGTTATTTTCTCTTGCACCTTGTTTCTGTGTGTTAGAATGGTCCTACGTGTTGTGAGTGGCTTGCTAATTTTTGTGATAACGTTTTGAAAAAGTGTAACAGACTGAAATTCTTAAATACAGCAAAAAATAAAAGGTTGAAAAGTGTTGACCAAAAAACTCTAAAGCTATAAATCTATAATATAAAAACAATGCCCAGAACAAACAAACAAAAAATTTGTGCAAAAACAAGTTGGATGAAAACCAATAATAAATTCCTAAAGCAATTGTGTGACAAAGTGAATAGCAATGGCAACCGTTGACAAACAAAGCAGCCTACCTTTGTATCGAAGACGTTTACAAAGACGTTTAGAAAGAAAAATAATTTAAATGCTAAATTTCAATAATAAGTTAACAAACATACGTAGCGTACGATTTAATACCTTAAAGTTGACTCTGTTAAACATCATGTGTCTGCTACTAATTGTCTTAAATATCGTTTTAAAATTAGTTTTCAAATATGAAATCGATTATTTATATGCAACTCGACTAAGCGGTTTTTACACAATATAAAATCACTTCTGATTAACGAAAATAAATTAATAAAAAAACAAGCATTTATACACAACAGGAAAAATTCAATACAGACGTTATAGCAACAAACAAACAAACGAACAAACAAACGAACGAACAAACAAACGCACAAACACAAACAAACAAATTAATTTTCAACTAAAATTATTTACATTCTGTATTCTTTAAAAATAGCACGCTCTTTTGATAACCTAAGTAACAATGCTGAGATTAAAAATAATGTTGATATGTAACAAGTAGAAACATCGTGGTTATTTGAACGACATGTTAAATGGCAAGATACATACGCCCATTCAAAGCGTCGAGTTGATTTTGACAACTTGTGAAACATGTGCCAATTTCAATTTTATTCAAATTTTTCCTTCTTTTTTTTTCTATAAATTTCGGTTAAATTAAACTTTTGAAATCACAATTTTTGCCTTCATTAAAATAATATTGGTGTTCAAACTTGATTCGGTAAAAAAATATGAAATTTTTTTTATATATGCGACCTTCATGCTTTTTTTAACCCTTTGTTTATAAAATACAAAAATAGGTTGGCTCATTTTCTAGGTACGCAATCTGATGTTTTCATAATATTGGAATTATTTAAAATCCGTAATTCAATAAAATTTCATGTGCTAAATAACGTTAAGTGTTGAATTTTTAATTTTAGTCAATTATTTGAAAAAAGGGTATAAGTTTTATGAATATGATACTTGAATTATAAGTTGAAAATAATTCAAATAAATGTTGATGAATATTTTTATATATAAGTAATTTTTCGAGCTTTTTCTCATTTATTTTAAACGTATTTCAAATCTTTTCAAATTTTTGTTATTTGCGTCCTGATTTTAAATATAACAATAATTTTCGATTTTGCAATTTTTGCGTTGCATTAGATTTTAAAACAGAAAAATACTGACGATGATATTGATATTTTCAATATTTCTAAAAATAATATTGTACATTCATATAAAATAAACAATTTATTAAATTTCATTTAATTAAAATAACTTTTAATAAACATATCGAAAAAGACTGAAATAAAATAGTTGGTTTGCAGGCGAAAGACCTTACCGATGCGTGATTGAAGGATGTTCCAAGTCATTCAGACAGCTTTCAAGTTTGCAGCAACACTTGAAAGGCCATAACTTGAATAACAGTCCAAATCAAAGCCTAACTACGAACGTAGAATTAAAATCTTCCGAATCACCTTCTACTTCTAATAAGGTAAGTACAAACAATTTGAATGATGACAGCCTTACGCTAAATCACTGTTTTTCTCTTCATTAAAATATATAATTTTATATTCATTTTATTTATTTTCTTAAACCATTTTTCAAGGATTTAGTCCTGCCAAGACCCCACGATTTAACATGTCAGGTCTGTGAAAAGCACTGTTCGAGTGACCAACGATTTTATCGTCACATGCATAAATATCATCCGGATTTCTGGAGAGTTTTTTCTGGAGGTGTTCCTCTTTCTGAATTTTTAGAAACAACTTCTAACAATTCAGCAAAAGATAGTCCGTTTTTGTGCTCAATTTGTAACAAAAGGTACATTCATAAAACTGGATATATGAAGCACATGACAAGTCATATTTTGCCACAAAAGCATCCCCGATCACCGGAAGGAATGGAAAGGTCGGAATGTTCAGTTTGCAAGAGAATATTTTCTAAAGAAGCATATTTACTTCGACATCTAGAAATGAAAACAGACAGTGAACATAACGCATTTCTCAGCGAAATTAGAAAAATTGGTTTTAACCAAGAATTTCAAGCCAAATTTAGCGATCGCCCCAAACCTGTCTGGCACGATAATTCTAATCCTTTTATTATGTGCCTTCCTGGTGCCGAAGAATTCAAAAATTTTCAATACAATCAAAATGGACATTATAACATTTCGCATCCCGTACCTTTCAACATTTCCCCTGACCAACACAAAACCGATTACATGCCATCGCTTGTGCCCACCACTTCAACTGATTCGTTGAGACCTTATCCAATGAGTCAAGATAAAATATTTTGTCAAACAAACAGTTTTCTGAACCCAAGTGCTAGAGTCGATGATAAATCCTTTTACCAAGACTCTATATTTTCACCCAATAGATCTGAAGTCTCAAATGGAGCTGAAAGCAACTCCACATACATCCATCACCAACATGGTTATTTTTCGCACCAGTCCAGTTTTAACGTGTGCAAGGTCGGTACTTACTCGTTATCTGATTCTCTAGAGAGCAATTTCAACGTACAGAAACATTTGACAAACAGCAATATTTCTTCGCCCACCAACTTGTTTGATCCTTACTTTGGTAGACCTTCCATCTCACAGCACGATATGGCATCGGCTCTTCAACATCTATCAAGATTCACGACCTTCAGATAGGAAGGCAATTAAATTGGACGCTGTGAAATTTAAAACATTTACAGCGTCTTTGTTGAGTGCATGTATAACAAACACACACATCCTATATGTGTACATACAATATTTATTATAAATTAATTTAGTGATAATTTTATAAAAATCTGTGAAACAAACTAAAAAATGTTGCCAAATTTCAAAACCTGTGAATTAGGAAAATTTTCAAATTTAATTTAATTCAATTTTTCAACATCTTGTTCTTGGAAAACACATCAGTTATGCAAAATTATGTTTATTTTATATGACTTGTACATATTACAATATTAACCCGGTTGAACTTCTTATGACTGAAAATAAAGTTTTTTATGGTTACTATTTATAATAAATTTTATTTCTGTTATATTTATTTCTTGTTCATTTATTCAATTCATAAATTTGTTTTTGTTTTAATTTATCCATTTTGTTGGTGGTTAAACTTCGGTTTTATGTTATTTATTACGTCATCGTGCTGATCCGGTGAGAAATTGAGCCTTTGTTTTCCATTTGAAAGTTTCACTTACGTTGGCCTTAAAATAACCAATGCAATTCTAGATTCAATATATTTTAAACTTTAAAATCTTTTTAAATCGTGTATATTCATTTTCTTACTATAGCTGAATAATACTATGTGCGTTCTAACAAATATATATTTTTTAGATTACGTAACGTACATAACATGTATAAAGACACACATGAAATAACGTAACGTCACTTGTTTGCCATCTAATGAATGTGCTCTTGATCACGGGTGTGAATGTAAATAATATCTTTTTGAACAATGTGCATTTAAACGTTTACGCTCACATTTTCAGTCTAAATCTAAAATAATGTTTAACTTAGTTTCTACCAAACCTATCTTATTACGACCCATGTGCATTTTGCCTAGAATGTGATCCATTTTATATAATGATAAAAATCATTTCATGCATCTCTTTGTTAGCTGTCAAAAAATTAATGCATTAATTTTATTTTCAAGTTTATTCAATAAATTTTAACGAATAAGCAATATTATCTATTGATGTAGTTGAATGTTAGAAATGTTATTGGTTCCTCAACTTGGTTCAGCAGGTAATCAAGTGGAATTATTTCTTATTTGTTGCAACATCTAAATTTCAACATCTAATGATATACATGCTGTTTAACGCAGTTAACCTTAACCAATATATTTCTATAGTTGTTCAGTAATAATTTTCTGTCATTTCCAATTATACATCCATAATATTATTTGATTGGTTTTATTTATATAAAAAATGTTTTTTGATTTGTGAATAAAATTTCCAAACCAGCATTTTTTATGTCTTTCGTGTTTATGTTTATACTGTTCACATGAAACTTGTTGAAATTTCAGTTACCAATGTATTTTATCCAATGGCGAAACTTTTTGTTCTTATCCAAATTCATCATGCAGATAGGCCTTAATTCGATTTTTTACAAATCATCTTCAGTGTAGGTTTGGTTTATATAGTTTCTTTAAAGCAAAGTTAGTTCTTTAGCAGAGTTAGTTATTAGTTGGTGTCGTATTCTTCATCTTGTTCTTCATTGTTATTGAAGTTAGTATTAAGGCGTCGAGTTGGTAATAATGCAATCATTCTTTGTTGGATGCTTATTTGGGGTTTATTGATATCTATTAGTATCTATTAGAACAGATTCTGCAATTTTCAGATGTTTGTATCTTAAAATCCAACAGAGAATGGTTACATCATTACCAACTCGACGCCTTATACTAACTTTAATAACAATGAAGAACAAAGAAATGACAACAACAAAGATGAAGAATACAATAACAAGTAATAACTCACTCTGTTCATCATGAAAATTTAATCAAACTGTTTTTATCCAAATTTATCATGCAGATTTCACAAATCATCTTCAGTGTATGTTTGGTTTATGCCAACAATTCGGTAGAATTCTGACAATACTGTATGTTGTCGGATTGAAAATCCTAACGAGTAAAAACTAACAATCCTCAATAATTAATGTAAAACACAACGAGCTAACGAAGTTATTTGTGCGGGCTATTTAAGAAACTGCGATAAATATTCTGATAGGTATTCGGGCTGCTGATGAGACCCCTTTTTTCTTCTCCTGCTCATTTCTATTCTTGGCTCGGTATTCTCAAACATAAGCGCAACCGCAACAATGTATATATATATATATATATATATATATATATATATATATATATATATATTGAATTTGAACAGAATTTTATTCGGCAAAAGCACCGGATATCAAGATACATATGTATGTGTAGACCACCTTAACTAAAAACTGTGCATAGAAATCAAAAGACATTACAAAGGGAAATTTAAAATTTTTAAAGAATAAACAAAATTAAACGGAAATATAAAAGATATTTTAATAAAGAAAAATTGAAATTAGCATGTCGTAAAATGGTTAGACAATATAAGTTTTAATTTGATGCTTTAAAAAGACCCAACGAAGGAGATGCCTTAGCATTATCCAGTAAGGAATCCCAAAGACGCATTGATGAAGATAATGCTGAGTTAAGGAAAAAATTAGATCTAGGCTTAAAGAAGTAGAAATCAGAATTATGACGTAAGATTTCACGTCTTGTATTCTTAGAAGCAGCAAGTTCATTATATTGCGATTGACTGAAATTTAATTTATATATTTAAAAAAAAAAGAAGTAGAAGACGGCTATATAATTGATTAATACTACGAATATTAGCTAAATAAAAATATGGAGTAATATGATCAATTTTACGTAAATTAAAATAAATACGAATGAAAAAGTTTTGAGCTAATGTCAATAAATGAAGCTGAACCCCAAATAGAAATGCAGTAAGTTAAATAAGATAAAATGAGAGAGTTATATAGAGTTAACATAGTGAACCTCGGAAATTTAAACCTTAAGCGATAAATTAAACCTAATTTTTTTAATAATTTAAATGAAACAAGCTTTATGTAAGATAACCAAGATAAATTGGATGAAATATTAATACCCAAAAACTTAACAGAATGAACTCTTTTAACTGTACAATTATTTAAAATTATAATTGGAAAAACAATGTCAGTTCTTATCTTTGGTCCAAACAAGACAAAACAAGTTTTATCTAAATTGATGCACAAATTATTTGCAACTACCCATTCATAAATAATCTTTAACACACACACACACACACACACACACACACACACACACACACACACACACACACACACACACACACACAGACACACACACACACACACACACATATATATATATATATATATATATATATATATTTTTTTTTTACTATATTCTATAAATTCTACCGAATGTTTGGCGAATGTAAATGATAAACAAAATTGGCCTCAACACCCTCCCTTGAGACAAACCACTTTGCACACAACGCCATTCCGATCGGACATCATTAATCACAACAGAAAATTTTCTATTCTTCAAATACCCTCTAATCCAACTGATTATTTTATCATAAACCCTGTATAGAATTAATTTTCGTAACAATTTTGTATTGGACACCTTATCAAAAGTCTTCTCAAAGTCCGTGTATATAACATCCACCTCCTTCCCATTGCCCACCGCTTCTGACCAATTACACTAAAAAACAAGTTGTAGATATCTTATATGAAATTGACTGTTTCTTAAGCAGTTTTTTTATGCTGATTTCAAATTTGTAAACCGTTTTGCTCTATCACGTCAAATTGCTGAGATACTGGCAAATTTATATATTTAGTTTGCGTAAGGAAGAAGATTGTGGGCCAACACATGGTCAATTTATTAACAGTTTTATTTATTGTTATTAGTTTATTTCTATAACCCCTATATATGTATATATAAATTATATAACAATTTTGAAAACAGATGGGTCTTGAGATCCACTCTGAACTGAAATAAGCAAAAGCAGATTTGGCAAAAGAGTGTTTAACACGATTTAAGAAAAAGCGAGAAGAAGACGATCGTAAACCGGGGCGTTTAGGTTCAATTAATATATCTGATAAATACTTAGGAAATAATTTACATTGAGACTTATACATGAACGTGCAAATTTTAAAAATTATTCTATATTTTATAGGTAGCTAGTGCAAGAGAACAAGATATGAAGATATATGAGAAAAGAAAGGGGCACGAGCAACTAGACGAGCAGCAGAGTTAAAAGCTTTACTTAAAGGATACTCATATGAAAGAAATCTACAAAAACATGTTATTACTTCTGCAAAAAATAAATTATCGTGAATACAATTGGAGTATAGGCTGTGACTTAAAAGTAGCAGCTATTCTGACAGAATTGCAGGTGGGATACACAAAATACTGCTGCTTCCTATGCGAATGGGACAGCAGAGATAGGATACAGCATTACGTTAAGAAGAATTGGCCAATCAGAAACAAAATGCATCCAGGAAATAAAAATGTTCAACATCCACCATTGGTTAACCGTGAAAAATTCTTATGCCACCATTTTATATAAAGTTGGGACTTATAAAAAATTTTGTAAAAAAAATTAGACTGCAACAGTGATTCATTTCAGTACCTGCGCAACAAGTTCCCAGGATTGAGTTATGCAAAGGTAAAAGAAGGTGTATTAATAGGCCCACAAATAAGAAAAATGATATCTGATGAACACTTCGAAGACATTCTTGGTTCAAAAAGAGGCTGGGTGGCATTCAAGTCACTTGTATCTTATTTCCTTGAAAATAAGAAAAGTGCCAATTTCGTGGATATTGTACAAAAATGCATTAGTGCCTACAAAGATCTTGGCTGCAATATGTCTTTGAAAATACATTTACTCGACTCCCATCTAGACTTCTTTCCAGAAAATCTAGGTGCAGTCATGACGAACACGGTGAACGCTTCCACCAGGATATTTCAGGTATGGAGTCACGTTATCAGGATCGATGGTGTGCAGCGATGTTGGCAGACTATTGTTGGACCCTTCAACGTGATTTATCAACTCATCAATACAAGAGAAAATCCACAGTCAAGAAATTTTCACCATGAACATGTTAAACAAATTTTTACATAAATTAGGCTTTCAATTGAATCTTTTTTTTAGATAAGTATTAATATTTTAGTATTTAAAGCCGTTTATATTTAAAACTTGTGCGAAAATTTCCGAAAATAAAAATTTAGTGTGAATAATAAAATCCCTTACGTGTTATAATAATAAATTAAAATACAAAATTTAAAACAAAGTTATTTCAAAAATGGGACGTGATAGAAAAAATTGGTTTGCATATTTGAAATCAGCATGTTCAAATTTACTTAGATGGATTATTGTATGCCAAGATATCTGCAAAAAGTTTTTTTTTGTTGTTCAGTGTTATCCAATATTTTCAACAACTGCAAAGTCGTAGATCTACCCTTCATAAAACCATATTGATATGAACTAAACAAACTATTATCGTTAAAATGCAGCAACAGTGCTTCTTTAACAAAATGTTCTAAGACTTTACATAACATACAACTTAGTGATACCGGCCGATAATTTTTAACACAAAAAGGCGATCCTTTTTTAAAAATTGGAACGACATAACTTAATTTCCAATCACTTGGTAAAAACCCAAAATTTAATGAAATTTTAAATAAAAAATTTAGATATTCACACACTGAACCGGCACATTCTACAAGTACACGTGAAAATAATCCATCAGGGCCTGCAGATTTAAATTTATTCAATGAAACTAATTTATTGTAAACTGAATGGCTTGAAATTTGTAATTCCATCATTTCTTTAATACCATATTTATTTATTACAACATCATACTGAACACCATCCCCATTGCTATAAACGCTAGCAATAAATGAAGCCAGAGCGTTAACCTTATCAACATTATCAACCAAAGTAGTTTCATTACCTTCATCATCTATACCGACCAAACAGTCAAGATTGCCCCTATTATTACCTAGTTTACGTACGTGATTCCAAAATATTTTAGGATTTGATTTGATTTTATTCGACAACAATATCACGTTGTCTATTATTAATTTTAGTATTTTGCTTTTGATGGAATTCCTCTAAGTTTTATATTTTATAAAAAAATTGTTGTCCTTTGTTTTTAAATATCTTCTCCACACTCTATTCCTCTCCTTAATATTATCCAACAAATCAATTGGGAATGTGCTATTTGTACCAAGACTCCTATTAACACCAACCGGAATATACAGCCTCATCGAACTTACAATAACATCCACAAAATGTTTCCACTCGCAATCAACAAAATCCTGGTCAATCATATTGCAACACAAAAAACTATCATAACTATAGGCAGCACCATTCAACTGAGACGTTGTTACTACAAGTAACATCGGAATTATTTAAGGCTTCAGATGCTGGACAGATTTCTATACTAGCTCTCCTTGATATGAGTGCTGCCTTCGATTGCGTTGAGCATGATACACTTCTTCGTCGTCTTTCTATTTTGGTATTAGTGGTTCAGCGTTAGATTGGTTAAGATCAAATCTTTTCAATCGGTCTCAACAGGTTTGTTTTAATAATGTCCTCTCTGATAGTGAGGTTCTACAATTTGAAGTACCACAGGGTTCTGTGCTGGGCTCACTGTTGTGTATGCTTTACACGGTTGATGTACTAAATGTGGTGAATGAATTTGGTTTCAGGGAATTCGCATATGCCGATGACATTCAGTTGGTTGCCAGCACTCCACCTAGTTTTGTTGTTGGTTTAAAAGAAAGACTTGTTAAATGTCTTTCTAAGATTGATGTTTGGATGGACCAAAATGGCATTCGAATAAATAAGTCCAAAACAAACTTACTTCCCGTTCGTACGTGGCAAAGACTGTCACAGACTGACTTAAATTCAGTTGAAATTGATGACACTGTGATTGATTTTTGCAGGAATTCAACTATCTTTAGATTTACTATCGACAGCAGTTTGAATATGTGTGATCACGTGAAAAAAGTGTCTGCCATGTGTATGTTTCAGTTTCGTCGTCTTAGACTAATTAAAAAGTGTTTAACTATAAAAAATTTATGCGCTCTTATGCAGGCTTTCATTCATTCACGTTTGACTACTCTAATAGTCTTTTGTATGGTGTTTCTAAAAAGGAAATAGCCATGCTGCAATCAGTTCAAAATAGGTCCGCCAACACTGTTACCGACAGTAGCTGTTGTGACCATATTACGCCAGTTTTAATCAGCCTCCACTAGCTACCTATTCATAAGAGAATTATTTTTAAAATTGCTGATATGGTTTATAAATGTCTGAATAATTTGGCACCCAAATATTTGGCCGATAGATGTTAGCAAACAAATGAGATTTTGAGTGACTATGATTTGAGATCGAGTAGGGCTAATACATTGGTCACGACTGTGACCAAGCTTAAGATTGGTTCGCGTAATTTCTCTGTAAGTGGTCCATCTGTTTGGAATGCTCTTCCTTGTTGCTTGCGTCAAACTGGATTATCACTGGGTCAGTTCAAGAGGGAACTTAAAACACACTTGTTTCGAATCTGAATTTTAAAAACTTGCTTCTTTTATAAAGCAGTAAAGCGCCTATGAGAACACTGTAAGTGTTATAATCGGCGCTTTATAAGTTTCCAAATAATATATATATATATATATATATACATATATATACATATATATATATATATCTATAATTATGCACATATACATATATTTCAAGAGATTGCATTCATCAGATTAGAATATTGAATCGAATTCGTGGATCATTGAACGTCTCTACGCTGGTTCATGCATTTGTTCACTCGAGAGTTGATTACTGCAACAGTTTTTATTATGGATTGCCGGACAAGTTCATCCGTGTACTGCAGTCTTTGCAAAATCGTGCGCTAGGGTTGTGGTTGGCGGTCGATGGGATGATCATGTGACACCTATACTTAAAGAATTGCACTGGCTAACTGTTACTAAGAGAATAATTTACAAAATTTTTATTTTGATGTATAAGGTACTCAGAGGTAGTGCTCTAAAGTATCTGCAGAATAAGATCAACAGTGATTTGCCACGTCCGTGCTCAGTTTTAAACCCTCTTCTATTTGTGTGGTAAAACTCAGGCATAAGACGAAAAAAACGTTTATCTTCATGATCGAATTGATGTTAGAAAATTCGTACATTTAAAAAAGTGATTAGGTGGTCACAGATTGTAATTGAATGGAGATTAAAAGCAAGTATTGTTTAGAACATTTATAAGCAATAGAAATTTGTACCATAAATTTTAAAACGTTAAGATATGTTTGAAGGTGTAGTCCATATGTACTAGTTTCAAAAAGAACGATTTAAAAGATAATTAAATAAAATTTAATTTAATTGAGTAACGACATCTCCTTTGATTAAGTAAACGTCCACTGTTTGTCAAATTCGTATTATAGCAACGCGATGAGCCTAGCCAGTCGGTTATTATTATTATCACGTTTAACAAAGGCGAAGACAAAACTAAGACAATTTTAAAACAATAAATTAAATAAATGTCTAAAAATGTGTCCAAAAAACCCCAATTTTCTTTCTCTGACTATGTCACATACACTTTTTTGTCATCCAAGTTGATTTCTGATGGTTTCGTTTTTTTCTTTCTGCCTCCAACTAATTCTCACAAATTTCGGTAACACTTCATCTCAAATGTTTCCAGTCTGTCTTTGTCTTTTTTCTTTATTGTTCATGTCTCACATGCATAAAGCAAGCTCGGAAAAACGCAAGATTCTATCATTCTCAACTTTGTTTTTATAGATATATTTCCACTTTTCCGTATTTACTTCAATAATGCAAACATTACTTCTGTCAATTTCTTTTGTGCAGTTGTTGTCACAGGTTATGAAACTGCCAAGATACACAAACTCGTCTACTTGTTCGAGTTTTTCTGATTCTATCTAAAATTCCGCATTGTTTCTGCCTTTCCTCGTAATCATCAACTTCGTTTTGTCTTTGTTGAGATGCAACCAGTGATATTTTCTACCAGCATGTATTAGTTCAATTAACTTCTGTAGACCTTTTTCACTGAAAGCAAGAAGATCTATATAGCCTACAAACTTGAGATCTTTGACAGTTTTCCTTCCTATATCAATTCCACCCAATTTTGAATTTGTGGTATATATATATATATATATATATATATATATATATATATTAGGGTAGTCCCCAAAATTAAAAAGTTTTTAATTTTTTGTCTTACCCCTTAATTTTGTTACCACCCATTAGGTAATACTTGGTGTAAAATCTTAGGTCAATTGGTCAATATTTAGAGGTCGCCCAAGGGCTCTGAAGTTTTACCTTATGGGCCTAATAATTAATCCAAATTGCTAATACAACGTCTTTGTTTTTTATTAACAGATCTTTGTCTGAAAAAGTAAACAACATGGCTGAGTCAACAAGAAAGAAGCAGGATATTTATCTTCTAGGCCAGCCTCTAAAAACTGCCATTCTGGGTAACAAGTTACCAGCAAAAGGTGAAGTGATGCGTCGCTTTCTGTACATTCATTTGTTAGAGAAAATGACAGTTCGCGATAGTGAGACTGCTGTTATAAGAGAGGTATTTCCAATATGGCAACGGGCCAGAATTTCTACAACTCAAGAATACAACGCCATTAAGAAGCTGGATGATATGTTTAAACTGTGGCAAGGATTAAAGATACATTCTAAGAGAAATCAGATGCTCAAAGACGTCAAGAACAAGCATTCGTTCATTCACGAAAAGATCTATTTGATATAGCACATGCTAATGCTATTGAACTGATTCAGATACAAGAAGACAGAAAATTTTTGCTGGCACAAAGGGAACCGGGACGGCGTGGTTATATGAGTGGTATAGATAAGAATCTGGCGCTGAAAGAGGCACGCTCGTATGAAAGGAAAAGAAGACAGGAGAACTACAAATTAAAGTCAGTCCAGGCGCAGGAAGAGATCACTGCCGGTGCATGTTCAGCTGAAATAAAGCACAGTTCCAGTGATTCATTGTCAGAAAGTGAATTATAAAAAGACAGCATTGCCAAACGTGTGCAGGTAAAACGAAGTAGGAAAAGCTTCTCGATGTCCCGTCCACATTGTGCAGTTAGCAGGAAAACTGCTGCAGCACTTGATCGAACGAAGACTTCTGATAGAAAGGCGACGTACATCATCAGTGGAGTTGCCAAACACCTTGGCTTAAATGCTGGAAATCTTGCCATCAATAGATCCTCAATTCGACGAGCAAGGCATAAGCATCGTCAAGAACTTGCGTTGGGAATTCGAAGGAATTTTTCTCCAGACGTTCTTTTGGCTGTCCATTGGGATGGGAAGCTCTTACTTGATTTGACCGTTAATCAGAAAGTTGATCGTCTTCCATTGTTGTTGCAGGAGCGGGAGTTGAAAAGCTCTTATCAGTTCCAAAACTAAAATCTAGTACAGGGGAGAGACAGGCTACAGCAGTGCACGAATGCCTCTTAGAATGGAACCTAGAGGAGTCTGTTAAGGCATTAGTGTTCGACACTACAGCGAGTAATAATGGAAAGAAAAATGGAGCATGCACCCTGCTGCAACAAAAATTAGGACGTAACGTGCTTCACATAGCTTGCCGTCACCACATATCTGAAATAATACTTGAGCATGCGTTTTCTGCATGCATGTCGTCTAATACGTCAGGTCCAGAAATAGCACTCTTCTTGCGCTTTCGAAATGAGTTCAACAGCATTAACCAAGCTGGTTACCATACAATTATGAATGATGAAAGCATGAACAGCAACGTTGAACAACACAAAGAAGGTATCGTTAGCTTTTGCCTAACGCAACTTGAACAATTTCAGCCAAGATGCGATTACAGGGAACTACTGAAGCTTTCACTTATTTTGCTGGGAGAGACACCGCCAAGGGGAGTCAGAGTTCTGCAACCTGGAGCTCTGCATAGGGCACGCTGGATGGCGAGACTAATATACGTTTTTAAATTGTACATGTATCGTCATCAGTTTCTGCTGACAAGAGTTGAAGAAAAAGGAATCTGTCGCTTCATCGTTTTTGGCATCTCTGTGTATCTTAGATCAAGGTTCACGGCTCCAGATCTTCTTAGTGCTGCTAGACATGATCTCCTGCTGGTAAAGAGAATCCAACAATTCAGAGATGTAGACTGTGAAGTTTCTGTTGCCACTGCAAACGCACTTTCTAGACATCTATGGTATGTTAGCGAGGAACTTGTTGGAGCTGTGTTTTTCGATGATCAGATTTCTCATGAGGAGAAAGTGTTGATGGTTGATGCACTGTCAGTGGAATCAAAAACAACCAACGACTTCACCAAAAGATTGCAGATGAATATTAATGACATATCTGATGAAATGTCTGTCAAAGACTTTGTGTCTTCGAACACCATGTAATTCTTTGCAATCCTCGGACTGCCTCACTCATTTCGAAACAAGAGACTCTCCGAATGGAGAGAAGATGAACAGTACAAGAAAGCTTTTGAAGTTGTAAGCGGTATAAAGCCAGTCAATGATTTTGCAGAGAGATGAGTTGCTTTGATGCAGGATTTTAACAGAGCAATAGTATCGTCTGAAGAACAAAAGCAGTATTTTCTGCAAGTTGTTGAGTACCATTGTACCCAGTATCCAAACCCAAAGAAAAAAACATTAGTGGGAGGAAATACATCTCCTTAACAACTAAATGGTTTAACAGTGACAATGGGTACTGGACATAATAATTTTATCAGGTAGTTTGTAGCAGTTTTGTCATGTTTTGCAACAAAATGCTAATACGTATAATTAGGTGGTAGCACAGGACACTTTGACTCGCTTAGGCAACCTCTAAATTTTGTCCATGGTCAATAAAATTTTATCATATTACTTGTTATATATGAGAAAAACAAATAAAATGGTAAGACCTGAAAAATTACGCGTTTTATTTCTTCCAATGTAATTGGGGACCACCCTAATATATATATATATATATATATATATATATATATATATATATATAGAAAAAGAGAGAGAGCAAGAAAAAAAGAGAGAGAGAGCAAGAGAGAGAGACTTCCGGAAATTTCCGCAATTCCCGTTCCCATGCTCACTTCCAACATACACACGTTAGGTAGCTGGTTTGAATTCACTTCTTTATAATAAACCAGAAAACTACAAACTAGGTTACTAATTATTTACAATATAAATGAACATATATTTTGGAACATTAATTGTTATTTCAATGACTTGCTGACGCTTCAAGCTACATCTAATTGCATGCAAATGGCTGGTCTCAGTAAAGATGGACGCATTCCCATATACATGGAATAACTGAAATAATTGATCTCGTTTATAACTTTGCCGATCAATGATATCTACAAACAAATCCACACAAGCTCAATATGACCCAAACCGAATTCGAATGTATTAAATCTCTTTTTCCAATTCACTTCATGCCATCTCATTTTAACATTAATGTTCATATGCAATAACTACTATTCTCTGCTCACTCATAGCTCTGATTCCTTGAAGACTTCTAAAAAAATGAAAACGGAATGATGTTGCTGAGATGTGGTTTTTAAAAAAAGTTATGAAAATCAGTTAGACCTTTCAAACTTCCAATGATGATGTATTGAAACATTCTGGTTATAAAATGAAGAAATTACTACAAATAAATCCGACGGGGCATTAGAAGTTTTGCGTTTGCCTTATACGGAGGGAAAAAATGGAAGATCTAACAACTACTGGAAAGATTGAAGAGAGAAGAGATCGCGGTCAACCACAAATAACATTCGTGAAGTCTTTGCGTCACTTTCAATCAATCAATCACTCAATCAATTAGCTTATAAAGCGCTATTTCCGCGATGTTCAACAGCGCTCCTCAATGAATTTTGAAAACAGATGGGTCTTGAGATCCGCTCTGAATTTTGCAAGTGATGGAGAAGTAGTCAAAGAAGAAGGTAGAGAGTTTCAGAGAAAAGGACCAGAAAAAGCAAAAGCAGATTTGGCAAAAGAGTGTTTAACACGAGTTAAGAAAAAGCAAGAAGAAGAAGGCGATCGTAAACCGGGGCGTTTAGGTTCAATTAATATATCTGATAAATACTTAGGAAATAATTTAGATTGAGACTTATACATGAATGTGCAAATTTTAAAAATTATTCTATATTTTATAGGTAGCCAGTGCAAGAGAACAAGATATGGAGATATATGAGAAAAGAAAGGGGCACGAGCAACTTTGTTGAATATCACCACATTCCAACTACTACAAAGTATTAAAGATCGGGTTTTGTGGAGGTCAATGGTCGCCAATGTTCTGGAGGGATAAGGGGCAAAAAAAAAGAAAAAGATTATAAAAATTAAAATATGTCTTAACTTTAACTATATATACGTTTTACAATATAATACACTGTTGAGTTTTTACGACTTATTAATATAACTTTGGAAGATATTTAACGTTAATTGGAATTATGGATATATATATAATATTTATTAATATATATAATATAATAATATATAATGTATATATTGTATCCATGGTTGGAATGTATGACAAAACAAAAAATAAACTAATGCATTATAATAAAAAAATTTATTACAAAGAAAAATTTTAGCCTGAGAAACCTCACCAACTTAGTTGTCGTTCGTGATTCGTTGCCAGCGTAACTTCTGTTTGTGTTCGTGTGTATTCACGTTCGCTTTTAGAACTCTTTCTAAGGAAGATTATTAATTAGCTAATATTTAATTAATTAATTAATTAGTTATTATTATAAAAGCAGAATTGGGTATTAGACCGGACAACAAATATTTCTATTCAAATTCATATTATTTTTGAGCTGATTAACTCTCATTTCAATTTTTTAATTGATAACGAATAGGGATTATGTCGTGATTAGTAGCTTTGGAGTGATTAGACATATTAACCATTTATTAAAGTATTAAACATTAAAGGGTAAAGATTAAATAACATTATAAATAATATAATTAAAATTATTTAATGATCAAAATGTCTCTTGTTATCGAAAATCAGAACACTGAAGCTTTTTATAATAATGCAGCTGGTGGCAACAATATGCAGTCCAGTTTCACATCACCACAGCAGTCTGTTATAAATTCTCAAGAACTCTCCACGACTCATGGGAATTACGATCCTGTTAGCATTAATAATGTTAATGATCAATTAGGAAATCAATTAATTGTACCCGCTCCGATGTCGACAAATATCATCATGTCTTCATCTGCTGGTTCAAATCAAGTTGCTGTTAGTTATGATGGTCGCAGAATGAGGAGTAAAACTAACATCAGAAAAACTGTGGACTATAATCCTTCAATTGTTAATTGGCTACATGTATGTTGATTGCTAATTTCTTGTTTCATGATTTTAAATTTAAACAATTTTCTTGGCAGAGAAAAACTAAATTAATTGAAAATTATGATGTTGAAGTATTTTTAGTTTAAATAACACAAAGTTGATGTTCCTAACGCATTATTATTAACAGTCATGATGCAGTTTTGTATTTATGTATATGACATTCATATTTGACAGGATTACTAATCATCATTTTTTTGTAGGGTCGAATATTTCAAAATGACCATCGAGACCGACCTTGTATCCAGCCTGACCAAATGTACAACTACCTCATGCTGCCTCCCCCAGCGTTCCTCGACAACCCGATCAATTGCCTCTGCACCAGGTCCATCAGGATGGCCATGAACAAAGTCAAATGTCCAATATTCACTGTCAAGGTTGCAGAGATTTTTTTTCTAGTTATTAAGGGATTAACATTAAGGAAATGTTTAACTTCAAAGGAAGTTTATGCTCAAGAAGATTATGCTGCTGAGTAGTTTTGCAGTAAGATGAATGAAAACAGAAATGTTTTAGTTTATTTGAAATCCTATTGCAAGCATAACATTATTAACAAAACTTGAATTTGTATTGAAAAAGCAGATTAAATAGAAGAAAAATAACAATGAATATACAACCTACTATAATCATTAAATCAAATAAATTGAAATAACCTCTATTGGCTTGTTACGAAAAATTGATAAATGCACTAAACAAAATAAAATAATGAAATAAAACACATAAAAGAATTCACTTATATTAAATAAATATAAATTGAATGAACTTCTAACCAGTGGACGCCAGAGGGACGTCGATTGGTGACGGGTGCGTCGAGTGGTGAGTTCACGTTGTGGCATGGATTGACATTTAGCTTCGAAACTATACTTCAGGTTTTTCTTTCATTAACTATTAATAAACTCATTCTATAAAGTTTAACAAAATTTTCAGCAAGTTGTTGCTTTTAAAAATTGCAATTGTTTTCATTAACAACAATGCTAAGTAATAAAATTTGAAAGAAGTGTGTTTCATTTCAAATTGATTACTAGTATTAAATTAATGTTATGCAGGCCCATGAGTGTCCTGTTCGTTCAATGGTGTGGAGTCGCAACGACCAGTGGATGATCACAGCTGACCATGGTGGCTTCATCAAGTACTGGCAGAGTAACATGAAGTACGTCAAGATGTACCAGATCCACAAAGAGGCCGTTAGAGGGCTGAGGTGCGCTCTCTTCCTTTGTTTGCTTTTAATTTTGTATTTACACTTATACTGTACACACGCTAGTTTTATTGAATTTTATTCAATATGTTGCAGTTTTTTATACGTTTAATTTACAAGTGTAAGCCATCATCTTTCTGCCAGGATTTTAAATTCTCACTTTTCTTCTTTTGAATTGAGTTGCTATCATTAAAAACTGTTAACCATTAGGAGTTGAATTTTTTCTACTGGCTCATTTGGTACCTACTCAATGTAATTCTTTTGAAATATTAATTTTTATATTTTTTTAGTTTTTGTCCATCTGACCAGAAGTACGCCTCGTGCTCCGATGATGCCACCGTCAGAATTTGGGACTTCCTGAGAGGTGAAGAAGAAAGAATACTGAGAGGTTGTCAACATTCCTTTATGCATTACTTCAGAAATTTTGATTATTTTAATTTCTTCATAAAGTTAACTATTATTATAATTATTTTAATTTCTTCATAAAGTTAACTATTTTTTTTGTTATGCTCTCCGGCTAATATACTTTACATGATAGGTAGCCTTAGTTTTGGTAAGTTTATTTAAAATTGTTTCCTGTTTTTTTCAATTTTTATCAACATTGGCAGTAGGTAAGTTAGTTATATCTGCGGTGAATATAGCTGTGTTTATTTTTTACTTCATCGGTGGTAAATGAGTTTTAATAAGGCATTTTGGCATATCTTTTTTGCTAAAACTTGTTGACGTTCAAAATAGTTTGCTTAATAAATGACAAATTGTAAACCAGTAGTCTCCAACCTATTTTTGCTTTCAGCCTCCTTTTGTATAATTTTTCTAAAAAAATCCCCCAGCGCCCGACTAACAAACTCAGGTATAGAAACTTGAGACGAAGGTAAATTTAAGAAATATTTCTTTAAAAGCATAGTTTATATATATATATATATATATATATATATATATATATATATATATATAAATTGAAAGGGGACCATATTTTATACAGTATTGTATGAATTTTACAGAATTGTTGGCATTAATCAATTTAAAGTTTGTCTTTTCAATTTCCTTAATAGAATTTTCTGGAAATTGTTCAATTTGTTTAAAATAGAATTATCTAAGTTCCTCAGGAAAATTTAATGAAACTGTTGTTATCCAAATTCATCATGCAGATAGGCCTTATTTTGATTTTTTATAAATCATCTTCAGTGCAAGTCTATATAGTTTCTTTAAACAAAGCAAAGTTCTTTAGCAAAGTTTATTAGCTGGTATCATATTCTTCATCTTTTTAGTTGTCATTCCTTTGTTCTTCATTGTTATTGAAGTTAGTATTAAGGCGTCGAGTTGGTAATGATTCAATCATTCCTTATTGGATGTTTATTTGGGGTTTATTCATATCTATTAGGACAGCTTCTGCAGTTTTTAGATGTATTGTGTTGGTGTTTTGTGTTGTTGTCAAGAATTTGGTGGGTTATTGGAGTTGCACGTGTTGATTGCAGGTGAGATTTGATGGCTCCTTTTTGTGTATGCATTGTAAGACGTCTTGATAGTGAAGTGGTCGTAACGTCAATATACGAATGTTGTTGGCGCGCACAGTCATTAGGAGGGCATTTAAATTTATATATTACATTATTACAATTCAAAGTAGAAACGTCTTTAGGAGTGCAGTTGTTTTTTAAGACCAATATACATTCAACAAAGACTATAGCAAGATATTTAAGAATAACAATGACAACGACATAGTTCTATATCACAGAAATCATATGTCAACGGCACATAAAATAGACGAAGTCGTCCTCAAACAAATCATAAAAAGAAATGCTTTATTAATCTGTGATACTAATAAAATAAAACTCAAGACATGCCACAAGAATTGTAAGACATAGCAATTGGTCTTAAAGAACAACTGCACTCTTAAAGACGATTCTACTTTGAAGCATAATCATATAATATATGAATTTAAATGCCCTATTGACGACTGTGCGTGTCAACAACATTCGTATATTAATGTTACGACCACTTCACTATCAAGACGTCTCACAATGTATACATGAAAAGAAGCCATCAAATCTCACTTGCAATCAACACATGCAACTCCAATAACCCGCCAAATTCTTGACAACATCACAAAACACCAAAACAAAAATCGAAGTAAAGCCTGAATTCGGATAACAACAGCTTCATTAAATGTTCGAGTTGACTTTTGATAATTATATCTTCAACAAATTGAACAATTTCCAGAAAATTCTAGTAAGGAAAATTGAAAAGACATACTTTAAATTGATTATTGCCAACAATCCGGTGCAGTTAATACAGTGCGGTGCAGTTCATACGGTTGGGAGCGATTTTATAACCCAGCGTTGCAAACGTTTGTTACCAGGACACGGTGCAGATGTGAGGTGCATCGACTGGCACCCGTACATGGGCCTGCTGGCATCGGGCAGCAGGGACGCACAACAACCCGTCAAACTGTGGGACCCGCGAACTGGAGAGGCCCTTGTTACCATGTTAGTCCACCCGACGATTAATTAATTTTATATTCAAGTTTTTCTATTTTAAGCATTTGCTTACTTTATGTTTCAATCGTGCAACTGCCTACCAATTGAAGAATAAATGGTGGGTGTCTCACCGGTCAGAAAGTTATAAAAAGCTGCCTAGCTGATGAGAACTTTTAAGTGTAACTGAATAATGATCAGACATTAATAAGTAAGAAAGATCTGATCTTAAGAATTCAGTGTGAGAAAACTATGATTAAACTTTAGAAGAAGAAATGCCAAAGGATTAGTTTGAACTGGGCATAAAATTAATTAATAAGTTGAATTTATTTGCTAACAAAAAATGTGTTATAGAGAAACCAGAAGGATGTGTACAATTAGGCATAACAATGGAATAGCAAATGAATTGTAAAAAAGAAACGAAAATTTTATAAAGGCATAACTTTCACTTTCTATGTCTAAAGTTGTTTTTAAGATAAATGCTGGTACTATCAAGAATACTGTGTCAGAATAATGAAGGTTTGAGTGTTGCTTTTGAAGATACGCTGCTAATACTGGCCACGCTGAAACATGGAAGTGATGCTCACGATGTCCCCGCTGTGGTCCGCTTGCAACACAGCTTTGCCTCAGCAATGATTTCATGTTAAATGTGTCGGCATTTAAGGGCAAATCTAATAAAATGATTCATTGCAGCCATGCTCACAAGCACACTGTCATGGATCTGAAGTGGAACCGAAATGGAAACTGGCTGCTGACGGCAAGCAGAGACCACCTGCTCAAGTTGTTTGATGTTCGGAACATGAAGGAAGAGGTCCAACTATTCAGAGGCCACAAAAAGGAAGCGACAAGTAAGCTCACATCCCATTTTGTGTTATTTAAATATTTGTTATGTTTTTTTCACTGCAACTCCGTTGTTTTGCTTCTTATTTCAAGGGTTCTTATGATATGACTTATAAATGGAGTTGCTTATGTAATTTTCACCAATTAACTAATTAGGCAAATAAACTTTAGGATTAACACCTTCATAATAAATGAACTTGACACTTTATTTATAGCAATAGCCTGGCATCCGATTCATGAAAGTTTGTTTGCAAGTGGGGGTTCAGATGGGGCGATACTTTATTGGCTTGTTGAGTAAGTTCATCTGTTTTGTCATTTTTGCATTAAATCCAAACCAGAAAAATTTTATTATCAAGTTGTAATGTTGTTGTGATGTTCACTTTTCAAATGATTGGTTTGCCAGCATCGACAAGGAGGTGGGCAGCATAGAGAATGCCCACGAGACGATGGTGTGGAGCTTGGACTGGCACCCGCTCGGTCACATCCTGGCATCTGGCTCCAACGATCATACAACGTTTGTGTTTCTTCCTCTCCATGTCTTTGCATTTTTCTCCGTTTTAGTGATCTAACAACATCTGCGTATTTCGATCCTTCCTAATTTTTATCTCCTATACAATAATTTGTATGCACCAATTGTTGAATGTTTCAACCAAAAATATTTGATAAATAATGATGAATTGGCCGTGCAGAAAGTTTTGGACTCGCAACAGGCCTGGAGACTTGATGAGGGACAGGTACAACCTCAACACCCTGCCGTACGGAGTCGATGAAAATGACGGTCTGTCCCTCCTCTAGTTATTTGTATCATCTTTTGTGTTTGCAATCGGCAGCATGGTTCTTACATGCCTGACTCTTCTATATTTGCATTTGTTTTACGATGAATTATTAACAGTGATTTTTTTTCATATAACAGTCTGTGACTGCAGATTATTTTGTTTGGTTCCATGATTATGACATTTTATTCAGCATTAACAGTTTTATATTAGCATGATTTATTTATTGTATTGCAGTCAGCAAACACACTCAATCAATTTCACTTTTGATCTTTAAATTTTTTTGTTCTGTAAGAAGAAAGTAATAGATCATCATTATCCTTCTCCAAAGTTCTCTAATCATTATCATCATAATTTTCTAACAACATCTTCATCTCTGTCACCTGCCACAAGCATGAATGATTATTAATTGATTGATTGGTTGATTGATTGGTTGATTGATTGGTTGATTGATTGATTGACTGATTGATTGATTGATTGATTGATTGATTGATTGATTGATTGATTGATTGATTGATTGATTGATTGATTGATTGATTGATTGATTGATTGATTGATTGATTGATTGATTGATTGATTGATTGATATGAATTGTCAGATGTGGAGGCGCACCACGGGGGAGTGGCAGCTGTTCTCGATAATGATCTTGAAGGAAGAAACTCTGTCAATGGTCCGTTGTTTCCGTTAATTTGTTCGTTGTTCGTTGTTTCCGTGTTAGCTTCTGATACTTTTCAGCGTTGTTGGTTTCGTCGCGTACTTGCTACGTTCGTAATTTTGTTTGCCTTGTGGGCGCTTGTTGCTTTTGATGTGCAGTTTCAAAAATAATTTGGTAATTACGCTGGGTTAGTTGTGCTATCTTTCAAATGAACATGTAGTGCAGATGTACTTGTTGCTTACGATCCTAACTCACTGACACCATTCATCATCCACAGTTGCAGCAGCAACGACAGCAGCAGCAGCAGATAAAACATCGTGCAGCTCCTCGACACCTCTGATACCGGGCCTTGACCTCACCTCCTCTCAAGATGAACAGTATGAGCAGGATTCGCAGCAGCAGCAACACAACGATCCATCCCTTAACAACAGTTTCAATTACGCCAGCAACAGCAGCAGCACCAACAATGCCATGAATAGGAAGTTGAACAAAAAATTGCTCCTGAACAAGGCCGTCCCAAAAGAATTTGAGAAGGCATGGATGGAGGGCAAGCAGCCGGACTCCATTGTCCTCAAATCACAACAGCCGGGCCACTTTTTCAACAATCCATCGCTGGGTATTCATTATTTTCTCACGTTAATTGTATGATGCTGGTATTAAGTAACCATTGAATGATGTTGCATGCTGAGGTCGGCTGGGTGGAATTAAATTTATGATTAAGGAGGATAAATCTGGAGAGAATAACTTTCAAATAACTTATTGTTAATGAATTTCGTTTGTGGTGTTTGGTGACCTCCAATTTGTTATTAAAAATGTTTCTTCCTGATGAGAAGAAGATGATTCTGATGACTGTTGGTAATAAAGTAGAGCAACAGATTGAAAGATACTCGCATGCTATTTCAATGTTAACAGCTATCTTAAGCCAGTTTAATAACTCACACGTTTCAAGCAGTTTAAAATGTAATTCGGTTTTTAAGGAAAATTTATGATTGTTAAACTTCAGATGCTCTCGACGAAGAACTGTATGGAAACAGCGGCAACAACAACAACAGCAACAACAGATCTATTGGTGGTCACATGAACAAAAATGTCAACAACACGAACGCATACTCTTGCAGAGCCGCAATGAAACCAAGCATGAACGAATATTATGAAGATGAGTCCTATCAAGAAGATGACTCGTACGACAACCATGATTACAATCAACAACCTTCATTTCACAAATCCTTCAATGAACAGCTCCGCCCTCTAAGCAGCGGCTTCAACGTCAAACCCGATGACTTCAATCGTCTTCCAGCACCGCCACGTGACAGGCATTACATGTCTTCCACGTCTAACTGGTCTAAAGATGACCAGCCGTCATTCGGCTATCACCGAGGTGCCGCTCACTACTCAAGAGGATATTCTCTCAAAAGAAAGGGGGACGACCTAGATGCAAACAGATTCGTAGAGAAAAAAAATTACGATGGCGTGGGAGGCTACCAACAGGGGGACATGCGACCGGACAACTTCTACCAAGGTCGAGGCGAGAGAAACGAGAGGGGTCGAGGATTCAACAGAGCAGGGTTTGCCATGAATCGACCTAGGTGATATCCTTCATTCCCGCTTATTCTTACATTTTCTTTTGTTTCGTTTGTAAACTTGGATTTTTAGATAAACTGTTTGTCTATTTGAAGTCATCAAAGTGTTGGAGCGTGGTCATATTTTATGTAACTGGATTGTTTCAATGTTCGTATCTCGTCACTCTCTTGTCGTCGTTTTGTGATTTATGAACGCTAGAATTTCAACGCTAAAATGTATTTTGTATATACATAGGTTTATAAAGACCCGCTTGTTGTACATACGTGCATGCCTGGTTGAACACTTTCAAACGCTGAAATGTTGCGTGGCGTCGTAACATTTTTTTTATCAATCTGTGTTTAATTTATTATTGTATAATAAAAGAAATTAATGTAAGATAGATCTTTGTGTTAGACAAGATTAATAATAATAAGTCCAGGCAGTTTATCATTTGATTCAAAAGAACTTGTGCAACGTGTTTAAAAGATTTTCGAAAGTTATTCATTTTATATTCATATCACAAATGCATTAAAGAAAATATTATTGGAATAAATAAATTGAAAAATAAGATGATGCATTAATATGCGATTGTTTCGTTATGCTCATTTTGTTGGACTTCATTTTTTTATTTTTCTGGCATGTAATAAATTTGTAGGCTGCCTCCTGTCGAGAAGATGAATTTGTTTAATTAGATTTAATTTATTTCAAAGTATGCTCTGACCGGCAGACTGGGACAACGTGCAGAACATAAAAATATAAATTAATATAAATGGACAAATACGATTATATAAAAAAAATAATGAAAATTCAAAATGAGAACCCAAAATGCAAATAAAATTAAAGGTATAATACAGGGGTGGACAAACTTTATTGTGAGGGGCGCATAGAAAACTAGCCGACATTAAGAGGGCCGCATGTGTGCATTTATCGATTTATCAGGGGAAGATGAATTTGTTCGTCATGATCATTTATGGCTGACGACCTTTTTTTGGTCATGATGGTATCTTGCATGCTCACCTCTGGTATAATCTAAAGTGTGAATGGTGACAATGATTTGATAAAAACGGAAATAAATAAGACTCTATTTTACTGTTTTTAAGAGAGAGAGAGACGCACCAAACTTTATAGCCACACTGCAGATGGCAGTTGATGTCGAAAGTAAAAAAGTACCAAATAGTTGCCATTACTCAATTTAAAGTCTGTCTTTTCAATTTTCCTTACTAGAATTTTCAGGAAATTGTTCAATTTATTGAAAATAGATATATTACCTTATTTTATCGTGAAAATTAGATAAAACTGGTTACCCAGATGGCCTTATTTAGATTTTTCATCTTCAGTGCAGATGCAAATTTGGTTTATATAGTTTCTTTAAAGAAAGCAAAGTTAGTTATTCAGCAACGTGAGTTACTTAGTTGGTGTATTCTTCAAATTTGTTGTTGTCATTCCTTTGTTCTTCATTGTTATTGAAAGTTAGTATTAAGGAGTCGAGTTGGTAATAATACTATCATTTTTGTTGGATGTTTATTTGGTGTTTATTGATATCTACAAGGACAGCTTTGATTTTTATCAATATATATATATATATATATATGTATGTATATAATATTCTATAAATTCTACCGAATAATCATTATTCATTATAGAAAATTTATTGTAAAAATTATGGTCTATTACCAACATATGTATATTCTATATATTATTCTAATATTCTATAAATTCTACCGAATGTTTGGCGTTAATATGTTTGTAGTTCGTTTGAATGTTTGGCGTTAATATGTTTGTAGTACGAACATAAACGAGTATAAATTCTACCGAATGTTTGGCGTTAATATGTTTGTAGTTCGTTTGGTGTTTGGAGATTGACTTTGTCAAAGTGACCTTAGATGGAAATTAGGTGTCAGGTTTCTTTATTGGCTGGTCATCTTCTTTGGTCTCTTTTTCTTCATCGATAGCATCATATTCTTCTATCTTTATTGGCTGGTCATCTTCTTTGGTCTCCTTTTCTTCATCGATAGCATCATATTCTTCTTCTTTATTGGCTGGTCATCTTCTTTGGTCTCCATTTCTTCCCATTGCCTGTTGTTGAATAGTTATTATCGGATGTCTTTGTTCTATGAGTATTGTTCGGCTTGTCGTAAATTATGTATAATGGTTGTTATTGTAATGAAAGATTTCAACACTGTGGTCCAAGATTTGTCTAGTAATTTTAGTTTTGTGTTTCTCTTTCATGTGATTCTTTAAAGCGCCAGTTTGTACGCGCATAGTAAGTCTTCTCGATAACTTGGTCTTCGTCATACCAATATTATGGTGCCAAGACTAACCAATATTACATTTGAACAAATATATTAAATGGCTATGATCCATGATCGATTTTGGTTTAATATATAAAGACATTCTATAAATTCTACCGAATGTTTGGCGTTAATATGTTTGTAGTTCGTTTTTTCGATTTTTATCACTAAAGTTTTTTAGAGAACGTTTAGTTTATTAAAATTCAAAATAAACTTATTTTTCGAATTCATGCTGCAAATAAGGTCATATTTCGATTCCGAATGAATCATCATTAGTGCAAGTTGATTTATTTAGGGAAGTATTCACTTTGTGAAAATGATCTTAGATGGAAATTAGTTGGAAATTATGGTCTACTACCAACACATACACACACACACACACACACACACACATATATATATATATATATATATATATATATATATATATATATATTATATATATATATATTTATATTATATATATATATAAATAAAACAAAAAAACAGATAAATATTATATATATATATATATATATATATATATATATATATAATAAATATATTATATATATATACACATACTTACATATATATTATTTTTGACCAAGAATTTAGAATTTTTGACGTAGTTTATTAGTTTAGACTTTCTAAAAGTCAGTGGTTATCGTTGGAAAAAATTTAATTAAAAACCGAAAAGAGGTGATTCAAGTGATTCAGGCAAAAGTTATTTTTGTGTTGCTGCTAGCTGGCGGCTAATTATTAAAATTCCCCAACGTCCTGATACATACCACTCATTTCTCTTCAGTTGTGTACAGTCACGTATCAGTCTATACTTTTGCATGCCTGTATATATAAACAAAGTATAGACTGATACGTGTATATATATATATATATATATATATACGTATATATACACACACATATATATATATAATGGATACTTATGACAAAAGTTTCAAAACATCAAGCACAATCTTCCCATTTAAAGATATGCTTAAAGATGGGAAAGTATTTGTCCTACCATAAATTCAAGTCGATTGAAACGTTGACATTGCGACAGGATGTTGTTGCCGTTTGTTTTTCAAAATATGAAATTTTTATAGCAACTGAGGATGACATCATATTAGCGTACAAACTTGAAACTGAATCTCTGCTGGAGGGATGTTCAAAAAGATTAACGCTGGTTGGAGGCACTCAAGCAATTGAATGCGACGAAATGGGTTAGTTATTTGAAAATTTCATATTCCAGCAACATATTTTTTGTCGCTTTTTCTATTTTTCATTAATTTTAAACTATCCGAATATAATAAAAAAATATAATAATTTATAGCCATTCTGAATGAAAAGAGTTAGTGTTGATTTATTTCTTCCTACATTAATGAATTTGCATTCATCCAAATATTCAAAACACTTTTTCGCGGTGAAGCAACGAGAGCAACAAATTTTGATTCAAGTAACAACTTTAAGTCTTGGGTCTGAGTGACATTCGTTTTGACTATTTAATTCATGCCTACTGTTTAGCTAATTTGCTAGCCATAATGACCAGATTGTATAATAATAAATTGTGTCACTCTTAAGTTCTAATTTTCCAACGTACACTAATCCCCCCTGTTTAATTAATCATTTTGTAGATGATCACAAAAAAGCGAACATTTTTCAGAAAGATTTTAATTTTAGTATTCAATCATTTCAGTATTTTAAAATCAAAATGTGTCTATTAAAAGGTTAAAGGACTAAAGGTTTCTCTCTCTCTTTTGCGTTTGCTTCAGAGGTTTTAACGACAAACACACACAGCGTACATGAATACGCGTGCAAACCACTCATCATACACATTGCATATGATAGGCGGAGATCTCTTTGTATTCAAACCCAGTCATTGCAATAGCAAGACCAGGCGCCTTTAACCATTGAGCCATCACGCCGCCCATTAGTTAATGTTGTCATTAAAAAATGTGATGCCGTTTTTGTTTCAAAGGAATTATGCTGGCTTCCATGGAATATGAAAAAGATAAGGAAGGAAAAAACATTGTCAGAGTTTATTCAAATTTGGAAAATATTTCATCTTCGACGTTTGTTGTGTTTGCTGGTTACTCCAGAAGACTGAAACATAGTGATGCAGGTGACATTAACAACAAATATAAAGTGTTATCAATTGAGATCCCTTTAAAATCATCTGCATCATGTTTGCATCTAAATTCTTCTACTAAAAATATATACATTGGGGTAGATAAATTTGTTTTGATATACACTCCCCTGTTTAATGAGGAGCACGGGGAAAAACTTGTGGATGTCCTACTTTTACTGCAGATTGAATTTTCTTTTTCAATTAAAGATTTAATTTCGTGTGAAGAGTATTTTGCGGTTTTCACTAAAGATGAGTGTCAGATAGTTTGCTTGAACATTAACAAAAAAGACATTCAACATGATCCTCGTCATTCAAGAGGTAGCGGGAAAAGTCATTCGAAAGATTTGTTAGTCAGCAGCCTTTTTTCCGAATCGACAGCGCACAATTCATTAAAAGAAAGTCCAGCTTTACATATCAACAAACCAAATGCGATTTCACTTTCACCACAGGTTAGAAAGCCGCACACCATTAAAACAACGTTTTCAAGCGATGGAAAATTTCATTTAATTCCAACTCAAAATTCTTCCGACGATGAATTGAATCGTTGCAGGAGATCAAGGACTATAACGAGGCAGATGGCTTGCAACTATAAAGAGTTTGCTTTCAAAAACGATCTCACAAGTAAAAATTGCGACAAGAATGATTCCTCTGAAGTCACCATCACTGAAACCGACTGCGGCGGACTGCTGATGTTTGGGAAAATTGACAAGTCGAATTCTGTTTGCCCTCGAGTTGACGTCATTTTTGAATGTAAGTTTATTAACGTTTAGGTTCTCAGAATTTTTTATTTGCCTTCTAGTTAACAATATAGGCAATATTTCAACTCTACAATAGCGCCATTAAGAAAGAGCTTCCACAAAGAACTGTCGTGCATGAACAACGGAATGATGACCTTGGTGTACCATAGACTTGATTTCAACTCAGCTTACAATTTCATCAAACCTTTATTCATGCCTTTTTACTCGAACAGTAAGTCATTTCAACAAATATATTAAAACATTTTCTAACTGATGTTGATGAAACGATTCTCTTCTTATTTTTTTTAAATTGGAAAAAAATTCAACTTGAAGTTGAAATAATAACAAAAATATATATATTATATATTATTTGGTTTGCTTACATTAGGTAGAGCAAATAATGCAACATCTATGTTTTTTATTAATTCTATTTTATAGATACAAATTGTAATATACTCCAGAAATGTGTCGTTATAAATCAACCAACCAATCAATTTATCAATAGAAAAATAAAGAATACATATAAATAAAGAATCATTATCATACTTTGGCAGATCTAGAGGAGGGGCTTGAGGGCATTGGCCCCCCGTTGTGAGTAGTTTTTTAATAAAAGCCAATAAAAAACCGTTTTATGCGTAAAACCGACCAAAAATTGAACGTGATAAGCAAAAAAGTCGTCAGCCATAGAACCACAAATGCTGGTAACCCCCGTTAAAAAGTTGCCCTTCTGGAAAATTTAAACTTTTCAAGTTTTTGGCCCTCCGTTAGAGTTGTCTAGATCCGTCACTGTTATCATATATCAAAATCTTCATCAAATTTTCACTTCAATAATAATAATTCTTGGTGCGAGTTAATTTATTTTATTTTTACACGACGATCGTTCAGTTTCAGAATGATTGAGAAATGAACAAAACAATTTGTTAAAATTTTTTATAATCTTTTCTTTATCATCTGGGTAACCTGATTTAGTTTCTCTTGTTTTTTAGACATTCGGGGTCACTTTAAAACAGGACTCCTGGTTACTGATATGCAGGTGCATCTTTTATTTAAGCGTTTGCTTATTTGGAAAATTAAATGACGAAAATTAATTATTCAACTTTCATCTCTTTTTTGTCGTTTCTTGTTACTTTTTTTGTCATTTCTTTAATTTCAATGCAATTAAACACGTTACATTTTAAAATATAGAAAGGAAGGATATAAGGCAAATCAGATTTTATAACGAGGCAGATCATTTTATTTTTTTAAATGAAACTTTCGTTGAATAGTTTTCATAAAATCATTATCGTACAGATGGCGAGAACTGTCTCAATAGTTTGAAGCTATCATATACTTCATGTAAAAGAAGGAAATTAGTCTGGGTGTCACTTTTCATTTCAACTTCTTTCCAAGGATCCTTATTCACCATATCGGGAGGACGAGCGAAGCATGTAAGCACATTTCAACACGCCAGTCTTGTCTCCCAAGTTAGTCGACAACAACAAAATCAACCATAGTCCACCGCTGTTTCCTAGCCTGTTTGAATGTCGGCCTACATAAAATTAAAACAAACTCAATATCCTTACGGCCTCCCCACCTATCCTACTTTTTTTAAAATCTGACTTCTACCGACGCAATAACGAACACAAATTAAGTAGTTTCTTTAGGTTAGTATTTTAGGACTGCATAAAATTGCACACTGTTCTTATTTATACGTTTTTTAAACTATTACAACCACTTTGTAGCAACAAACACATACACAGCGCATTGAAACCCGCGTGAATCCACGCACCACACACATTGCACATTGCACTGATCACTTGGCAGTCGAACTAGAGGCGCACCGAATAATTTTTAAGTTATTGAAACTATTACAATAACTTTTTAATAATTTTTAAAAACTTATTTATAAGCAATGTTCTTACTCGAAAAAAATTGATAACTTGTATGACTGTGTCAGATGAAGCATGCGACGAGCAACAGTTACCTGTGCAGAACTAGCTTTAAAACTAGGGCGGCTGCCCAGATTCAACATACTTGGTGCAGCCTCTATACAGCCAGACAGAATCTAACCATGCTAACCAACTAAACTTTATTAATTTAAAAAACTATTTTCAAAGTGGACGATTTGAATGGAAACCATTTTACTCGCATGCGATCTTTGTTGATTAAATAATTTTTTTAAAGTTTTTTTTATTAAAAAAATCATTTTGTTGTTATTAATAAAAAAACATTAATATAAATGACAAAAGTTTGCCTCCCCTAAAACCCCTTTTAGCTTCACAGGTTGGGAAACCCGCTGTACTAATCGATGTTTCTGATGCATTATAACTTTGCGCTGCACGGCACATTTTTCAAAAGTAATTCATATGACATATAATTTTGTATAATATGTTATTGAATTTAATTAATTCAAGAATAACAAATTAAAACCCACCAACTTTCATTCATGCTAACCCAACATGCCTTCATTGCAATGTATGCCTAATTCTCAAGCTATGTAATTTTTTTCATCTACATCATTGGATTGTGATTTAAAAAAATGTTAAAATGTTTCAACTTAATCTGAAACTGAACGTAGATAGCGTCCGATAGGAACTACCTGTACGCCTCAAGTGTGCGAACGCTGGAAGTTTACGCCTGGCCACACATTGACGACGTTGTGCCCATTCGGAAGAATCAATTTGACGATGCATTGGTTAACCATTGTCGTTGTCATTACTATTAATTTCCTCGCAATTTTCAGAGCTATCAACAACAAACGCATATAAAAAGCATGAAAAAATGCATAAATCCACGCATGAATTCACGCATCACACATTGCGGAAATTTTTTTACACTCCTGAAAGAGGTGCTTCACCGGATGTTCGGCCAAAATATGACACTCGATTTCGGCCATTTTTAAGGGTCGAATAGCCGAATGTTGCTATTTTCTTTTAAACCAACACTTTTTGGAATTCTAATAATAATATAAAAATAATAATTGGAATAACAATAATAATTGGTTATTATTAGCGGAAATTTATTTTGGCCGTCATAGCTGTTTTGTCTGAATTTGATCAAGAGATTGAATTATATTTAAGTTGTTGTATACAAATGAATTGCTTACTGTTTTCTTTCAATAGCTTATTTATATACTAAACAAATTTAAAAATTTTCAAAATAGTTGATTTTTTTGTATTTGCCTTTCGTTTTCGGCTGAGTAATGAATCAACAATTTAACCTTCGGCCAAAATTTTATTCGGTGCATCTCTAATTCGAACTCATTCACTGCAACAGCACGATCTGTCGCCTTAACCATTACACCGACTCACCACCCAACAATTAATTAATTAATTGTTAATTAATTAATTATTTAACTAATTAACAACTTTTGATATAATTTGTCACTGATTAAATTTTAAATAATTTAATATTGAAGAATTTAATTTTGCAAAGTCTATTTTCATGGAATGAAAAAGTTTATTAATTAACATTGATCAGTACAAAAAACATGGTTACAGCTTTCAACTCGATCTGCAAAACAAACCATGTTAGTTGGCATTGAGAAGTTTGAATGGTGTGGGTTGTTGAACTCCTGGACAGTGATGCACAACACAGAAACCATCCTCTACTGCCTGCACTTGTAGGCGCTCCATTTTCTCATTTTCATCCTTCAATTAGCTAATAAATTACCACCAATCACATGCAAAAGTTTAATCGCGAATAATTTTTTCCAATTGAGTGAAACTTGTATTAGTTTTTAAAAGTTAGGTTCCTCCTAGCTTTCTATGTATGTTGAATTTTCATCTCATAAACAGACCTATTGAAAAAATGTTTCAACATAATTTTGTTCTATGTTGATTCACGAAAATTAATTTATTAATTAATTAAACAGCTATTCATTGCAGATAATATCTCGCTGAAATTTAAGTTCTAATTAATGTCGTTTTAATTTGTTGTCATTAAGAATTTTACTTAAAAAAATATTAGAATGCTATTACGAAAACGTTGATTTTAATTCATAACTGAGTTTCAACTTATATAACTAAAATATATTTCCATAACAGTTCAACAAGCAGCAAGTTGCTGGTTCAAACTTTTCAGAAAGAGAGCACCGTTTGTCTGTCGAGGAGACTGGTGAGGTTTCATTTACGTTGACGTTTATTTTTACGTGACAGGAAGAAGTTGTCATTGAAAGTTCCATGTGAATTTATCTTGTATATATTAACTTATTTTTCTTATTTGTAATCAAATGCCAACAAATTTTAAGTAGCTTGTGAAGGAAAGGGATTTTGTCGAATTGAAGTTAACACGCGATTGTTTTTATTTTTATATAATAACTCGTGGTAGGCTTAGTTTAATATTAACATTTAGTAAATTTAACAACGCTATTTTTTAACGCGAACAAGTTGCAGAAAGTGGTTAGACTGACGAGTTTGCACCTGGAGGACCAGGTGATGTTGCTCTTGCAGGCACACTCCATGCTCAAATTTCAAAGTTATTTCTCCGACAATCAGCCTGCCAATAAATGCAACATCTGCATTTGTGATGATTCCTCAACATTAAACGGTTAGATGTCAATTTTTTCATTTTTCAAATTTGTGATAAAAATTTTCATTTACAAAAAAGGATTCCAAAACGTTGATCACGAAGAGACGTATAAAAATGTACTCCAGCACTTACGTGCATGTGCTGCTGATGCAAGAGAAACTTCACAAGACAGTTCGGAATGTTGCAACGAAAATGAGCATCTGTTGAAAGAAGTCTCGCTGGTCCTTTCATACCTAGCCCGCAGGTACGCCGCTATTTTGCTCATTTTGTTTTAAAATGAAGAACAATCACTTTTTAAATGGCTAGTGTGGTAAGTTATCATTTTACGTTTCAGAATCAGAGAAGTAGCTACAGAGAGATGTGACACGCGAACCATCATAAATTGCAGAGAGTAATTTATTACATTGGCCATGCAGCCAATAAGATGCAATACGATGAAAATAATTCAATCGATAAGTCGTGTTTTTTTTTGTTCTGTTTCCATTCAGCTCCAAGTACATAAATAAATAAATCCGTCAACTAATGAATAAATAAATAAATAAAATGAAAATAGTGTTAATGGTGTTAACCAACTTCATTCGATAATTCAGAGTGAAAAAGTAACTAATTCAACACCAGAGTAGCAACGGTGACACATATGTTGTTCAGATCGTATTAAAGGCATAAAAAAATTAAATATTATTGTGTAAAAAAAATTATTGATAAATCATTTTAAAATATTTCCACATTGGCGTTCATTACTCTTTCCATTGCTATAGAAAATCTAGTTATTTTGCATTTCTGTTCCTCTGATCATCCTACTCAAAACAGACCTTTTTTATAGACCTTAGACCTTTTTTTAGTGAAATTTATGTAACAAATGTTGAGTATGTGTGAGATTATAAGAGATTTAGATGACATCCTCTTCAACGATTGAAACTCTTTCAGTCATTCGAACGTAATTTTGTTTCCGCGCACTTTAGAATTTGTGCCAACTTGATCATAACTTTTTGATAGCGCTGTGATGGAGGCAGGCCATTCGAAACATCTCCTCCTTCATCACTCTTCTTAACGGTTTGTGCGGTTTTTGAAAGTTCTTCTTTGTCGTTTTCAAAAATAACTTCGCTGATTTTACTCCAAACGTCATTCTGTGTAGGATCTATATTAACGTTTTGTACATTTTGAAGTTTTCCATCGCTAACAAAATTATCTGTGTTAGATGACAACGAGTGGTCTGGATGGTTCTTATGTGAGTGATTGTTCAAACTTTCTGTCGTTCCTTCGTCGGTTTTGTATTCAGCTGTTGTATCGCAGCACGTGTCGGTCATGTTGTACTCGTCGTCCATGCTCTCCACCAGCTCTCTCCATCTCTGGAACTTCTTATGCTTGCGCTCGTTTTCAACATCATCCACAATGTCGTTAACTGCTTCTATAATTGCGTTAAGATTTGCTTGCTTTTTAAAAATTTTTGTTAAAATTAATTTATTGTCATCTTTTGTTATTAATATTTCGTCGTAAGGTGGGTAATCGAAACAATTGAAAGATATGCAGAAGGGCTTTAGTTCTTTTGAAGACGGAAGTAACTCACCTGGTGACTGTGGTCTTGTGGGGCGCATCTCTGATGTCGGTGCGTTGTTAGGGAGCAAGTGGGAGGTTGGTGCGTGGTTCTTAGAATTCAACTGAGGCACCACCAGCGATTCTACAGAATTTTTTATTGATTTCATCATGCACTTCTCAAACCTCAACGAAATTAATTCCAACTCCGAAAGTTCTGGTTTACGTTCGTTAGCTCCACCGTCAGAATTATTCGATGTTATTTTTTGACCAAATCGATTTGCACGAGTATTTTTTTGACGCTCGAATTCAACTTTTCGTTTATCATAATGTACCAGCTTGGTCTTTAATTTTGCTATTTCTATATTTGTTTTTGATATTTCAAAATTAGTTTCATTTTTCAATCCATGGAGTTTATCATTCAATTTCACAGTCTCACGTTTATTTTCCACCAGAAGAGTTTTTAATTTATTTTTCGAGAACAAGCGATCACCAACCGCATGTTGATCCATGTCGAGAACGATTACTGTTTGTTATTTTAAAAAACAACTGTGAGCTGCCTCTTGCAGGTGCCTCTTATTTCATTTTGCTTCGAGAAGTTGTGAATAATTGATTAGCCGCATCCAATAGACGAGCTCCATGAATACAAACACAACACAGCGTACACAAAGGTGTAATTTCATATCGAAGAATGTAGCGTACATACAATGCAACAAATATAATCAAGTTCGTAGCGTTAGTTAAAAAAAGTCGTGTTTTTATTAAAAAAAAATGTTAAGAAACAAATTTATGCTTGTTCAGTTCACGGAAGGATAAACCAAACCGAAAGTAAATTTTTATTTAATATCTTCAATAGCAAGTTTCAAACGCTAATGATGTAACAATGAGGAAATAATTTAGTGGGTGACTTTGTAGATGGGTGGCTGAGTTGGGTAGAGGTTGCCGGAACTTTGAGAATATCCTGAAAAGTAATGTTTGTGTGTGTGTGTGTGTGTGTGAGTAAGTGTGTAGATGTGTATGTGTGTGTGTGTGTGTTTGTGGTGTGTGTGTGTGTGTGTGGATGTGTCTTGGATACAGTTAAAAAATTAAACAGTTATATGGTGCTAGTTATTATTGAAACAAATGTTATTTTGCTTAAAAATCGTTGCGCAAGATGATAAAATGGTTTTAACTGACCTCGGTTGTTGTACATGTTGGGATTGTAGAACTGCAGTGAGGTTAATGTTTATTCGTCATTTGTAATTTGCGTTTAATTCACAAAACCACTTCATAAAATTTTAAACTATTTTACTGTGCGTGTTGTTGAATGTGAAAGTTTAATAATGAATCTAACAGTGCTTATCAGGTTAGTATGCGTTCAATGTTTCAACTTACGCTGATGTATCTGACGCCACAACACAGTGCGAGGGAACTGATGACGAAAACGATGAAGTGGAAGATGAGCTCGATGAATGCGCCGATCAAGAGGAGAATGTCGACGGGCGCCCAGTTGTCCTGCTGTTGGTTCAATTATTTAAATAATCATTATTTATAAATCTCTTCCCTTCCCACACAAAGAATTCTTTTTTTGCAATCATCTCATTCTCAATATTATATTATGCGGTGCATCCAATGCGTACAAGAAAGCGCTGCAAGAAATTTTATGGCAAATTTTTCACTTCACAAACTTATTTTTTATTGAAAACGTACTTCAGTTCAAATTAATAGAGAAATCGTAATTGAGAGTAAGTAAAATTCTGAACCTCAAAATCGATTGCAAAATAAAAATATATTGGATAAAAATCATTTTATGGAATTAAATTTTTATTGAAGGCAGATAAACTCACAAAATTGTACCACGAGTTTCCGGTGCAAAATGTGCCGGCAAAAACATTTTTTGTGTTGAAGATGTCGTAGGCGAACCCCCCGTAGGTCCATTTCAAGTGGTACGTCGCTCGGTTGGCGTCGACGTAAGTGCCAAACACGCCCAATGAGAATTGAATGATGGAGCAGAAGATGCCAGTTAGGCTAAAAACCAAAGCAACCGTTATCTGTCAATAATTTGTAAAGTTTCGAGTGCATTTACTCATAACGGCTTAATTGCCGTAATATCACTTTAAAAAATTAATCTTGTTTTGGAAATTGAAGCTAACGAGACAGGCATTCTTCTTGAAAGCAACGACGATGTATATCACCCCGGCGACAATAAACTGTTGAGTTGTTAAATTATTAAATATATTTTTAAATCATTGTCAAATATTGAAATTAAATAAATAAACATAGATAAGGTTGACGTTTTGTGACAGAGTGCTATTGCGTACATCGCTTTTTTATATTCTATTAAATCGTTAGGATTAAAGATCTTACAAAACTTAAACAATAGAGCAAAGCAGCAAGGAGCACTAACGATGAATCCACACCATATGCCGTATCCAATGTAGGACGCTGAACTTCCCACACAAATTGCAGCAATGCCAAGGCCGAAAGAAAAGAAACCAAACAAAATGGCTAAGATTCCCGATGCCAATGACAATCCTCTAAATTTTTTAGCAATTTTATTAATTTACTTTCATTTTGAATTATTAATTTATAACGTTCAACTTAATGTCTTAATGGGCTTCAAAAGGCAAGCCGTGTTTAAAACCATAAGTAACAAAAACAAATATTATTTATAACGATAAATTAACAATATATTTAGTAAATGAATGGTTTAAAAGTCTCATCAAAATTTCCGGTAGTGTAAACAAACACTTAATGCGTTTATTTTTATTGGGTGTCCGCAACAAATTAATTCCTTTTGAATCAACTCCTCTACTTCACACTTTTGTTTGCACAAGCACTAGCGGATCTATAGGGGGTGGTATTTCTAAAAACGTATTTAAAAAACTCAGTAAACTCAGTTTTCGGTTTCAGCAAAGAAAAAGCCCCATTTTGTGTAGAAAATCTACCAAAAATAGAGATGACGAGCAAAAAAAGTTGCTAGCTTAATTTTGGCTACAAGACTACAAATTTTGAACCCTATCAAAATGTAAAAATCATTGGAACATTTTCAACAATTTAGTTCACCGTCAAAGTTGTCTAGATCAGCCACTGTGTGCAAACACGTTCACATACTCAATATTAATTATTTATGTTTAAAACCAAATTTGTTGATTTTCAAAAATGATTTAACTGTTAAAAAACCTGCAACATACTTGTGATATGAGATGATTGAGTCGGAACAGGACTGAATGCCTCGGACTCCAATGTATCGATCCAACGTGCTCATCTTTCGCCCACTCTTTTAATCTGCATCATCAGTAATTCATTTTTACATCATTCAGCAGAAACTGTTAGAAGATCTACTCAATCGTATAAAAATGTTTATCACCAGAATTTAAGTATAAATGTAATAAAAGTAAATGAACCAGTTACAACTTACATTGAATAAAAGTTGAAAATTTTCGTAACGCAATTTTTTGTTTTATTCCGTTTGGAAGGTGGTTTGAAAAGGATCAGCACCAGTATAAAAATATTTTCTAGCAAACGAAAAATTAAAAAAATGCGATTAGAAGTATGTGCTTGGTATTTACAGAATTGTTGAAAAGCTGATTAGAATGTGAAATATTCTTCGAAGCGATGCAGTTGCAATACAAACTGTACGCTGTATTAAAAGAATTTTTAAACGATAGAATTTCTAATGTAAGCAATGTTTGTTCAATTGCACAGGTGAGCTTACAGCCCAAATAATGGCCACGCATATGATTTCATTTGAAAGCACACCTGAACAATGAAGCATGTTATGAATAATGCATACATGTCTGCAGTCATCACAGACAGCCTACACGCATGCTTATTATTGCGACTATCATCATCTTCATCATTCTTTTTGTAGTTTTGTTGTTTGAAATTGGCTTCTAAAAAATGTTTAGCCGCAATATTATCCGTTTATTAATAATTAAAATAAATATCATTCAAACATTTTTGCTCTATGTTAAACTGAAATCTTCATGATCGCTCTGATTGCATATCTGTATAACTGTACGTCATTATCATTTTGAAGAGATCAAATTTGGCAGATGTAATAATGAAAGTGGAAAGCTGGAAGGAAAGAACACAACTTAGAAGAAAAAAGATGTGTAAATGATAAACGAGCAACAATGCTTATGCTCAATGAGATGAATTTATGAATGCTTATGCTGAATGAGATGAAAGTCTACACGAAGTTTATACAAATTACAATTTACAAATAAAAAACAGAATGGTAACGTTACAAAGCATATATTTGGTAATTGCTAATGAAAATTTAATTCAAAGCGTTTGAAGGTCATGTGGCTACCAGTAATTGCATAATTTTATTGTCTATCATCTCATTATCATATTTATCCTTTGCAGAGATGAGGTAGACGGAAAAAGACTTGTACCGGTTGTAAAGAGTCTAACGTGCAGTCTGCTCAGTCAAGTGAAGCTGAGCAACGGGATGCAAATTTGATAAAATGCTTAAAATAGTAAAAACTCGTGATAAGTGTCATTCTTGTCGGAACTGGGAAGGAACCATTTAATTGACTTTATTTTGTTAGAATTTAATTCCGTTTTACTATTAAACGTTTAATAAACTTTTCACGTTTCTTAAGAATAAAAGTAAAAAAAAATTAGCAAACTTTTGTAATTTGTCGAAAAAAAGAGTCAAGTAATTCTATCTATTTTAAAACTTTATTGCCAAAATCATTCGTCATGTATAAATAATTTTTATTGAACTTATTTCATGTTTCAGTGTATTTCACTACAGATGCTCATCTTTTATCCTATCATAGTCTGAATCGAGCCCTACCAATACTCTAATTCTAACCATGACGATTTCCGTAGAGTTGCGATAAGTTCATTGGAAAGATTGTCAGCACCGTTCAACCGTAATTTTTAAGTGTGCGACTTCAGTAGGAGTAACTTAGTTTAACATTTCTTATTATTACAAATGTAATTTTCAGAACCATAATTTGTGGTAGCTTGTTTAAGTCAAGTTCGATGAGTTTACAACAAGTATGTATAAATATTGAACAGCTCAAAGTTTTTAAATAATTTATTTTAAATTCTCATTAATTAGAATAATTTTGCGTAATATTGAAATTCAATAATTCGAATAACAGTTTAAACCACAATTAAAAAGTTTTAATTTGAAGGCAAATTTTTTTAAAAGTAAACTTTCAATGACTGTCAATTTTAATTTTCAAGTCCATTGGCTGACTGACTCCATTGTAATAGTATCTACAAGGAGCACATACATCAGTAGATTCTCCAAAGTCAAATTTTTGTAGTAAATTTGCAAAAACCACAAAGACCGTTTTGAAACTTATATCAGAAACTGGGCATTTGCAGTTATCTTCTTCAATTCCAAAGTTGAACAATTTTTGACAACAACAACTTTCCGCTTCCAGATGGTTCATAAATCTTTCAGGACAAAAAGTAAGTGGTTCTTTCCATACATTTTTATTCATATGAACAGCATAATAATTACATATCACCAGGCTGTCTTTAGTCAAGAAATATGGCCCCAGCTTCAAATCATCTTTTAAAACTGAAGGCTGACTTAGAGGAACGACTGTGAATCTTCTCGACACCTCACGCAATGTAGCATTGACGTATGGCAGGTCTTTCATATCGTCAATGTTTATTGGCCTGAATGGTCCAATTTTTTGATCAATTTCGTCGTGGCATCTGTTTTGCACGTCGGGATATTCCTTCATTGAATGAAGGGCCCACAGCAGGTAAGAACTCATTTGATGGACTCCATAGGTAAAAAACTCTAAGATAGTTAAATCCAAGTTCATTCTAGATAAGTTGTTTGTGCCGTTGGAAGAACATTTTAAATAAACATCTATTATATCTCTGCATTGTGTGAAGCCATGTTTTTGTTTGTGCGATTCAATCTCATTGTCTATCAATCCCAACATGTGCTTTATAAACATTCGATGAAATTTTAAATTTTTGCAGCCTTCAGAACTATTTTTTGTTGATGCATTATTTTTAAAATTGCATTCTAAATTAAATATATTTCTACTGCTTAAATTCATGTTGATGATGTTCACCAAATCTTGCAATCGTCGGCTTTTGTACGTGTATCTACAGCCAAATATTAGGCTATTTAGAATGTTTGTAGTGGCAAACTGTATGCATCTGCAGGGATCGAAATCTATTCTTGATGATTCGTACGATCTAAATATATCCAATAACTTTTCGATTTCATAGTGCAAACTCATGCCAAAGTTAAATTCGCCGCCGTATCGATCCATAGCTGTTCGAAGCTGAAATGAAAGGTTTGAGTTTGGATTATTATCGTCAGGTTCAATGCAGTCACTAGCATTATAACTTTTTTTCAATAACGACATTGTATTATAATAATCTTCAAACAGGTTAGCACTTTTTGCAACACCAACTAAACGTATTAAATGTTGAGAATTTACAACTACAATAGTTTCGGAGTCGGCGTTTATGCTAAAAACATCTCCATGTTTTTCAAAGAGGTGATTCATGAGCTCAGGAATACAATCATTTCTTCGTCGAAGTATGTTTTCCAAATGACCAGCATGTTGGAATTCAACGCAGACGTTCTCATCATCAGGGCGGTCGTCGTCCTCGTTGTTGTTGTTGATGTTCTTCTTGGCAGGTAGTTTGTTGACGAGCCACCACAACGCGCAGGCACCCCCTGACACCGCCAACAGGGTCGGATATTTCCATTCTTTTAAATAGTTCATTTTATTTCATTTTTGATTTTTCAACAGTTAATCGAGTGTCAGTTGTTTTTCATAATGGTAAATATAAACAATGACGCACGTAAACAAAAGCAAAAAATTATCTATAACCTGACGCTAAACAGCTCTATTTGCTTATATATAATTGAATGTTGTTGCTGTATTCATTTTAGTTTTTCAATTTAAAAATAACAGCTCAAAAAGTGAGCGAAAATTCTCACATAACGCAAATTATTCTGTTTTAAAAGTTTTTAAAGGATTCAAACAGTGTTTGTCTATATTATCAAATTTGATATATCATAAAATAAATTAATAGCTAAATAATTTTAAATTATATTCAAAATTATCGTCTGTCTCAATTATTTACAGCATTAATTTAAAATTTTTTATGAATTTATAAATGAATGTTTTCGCTAATAGAAACGCGGCTGTGCATAATAAAAAGCGTGTCAGTTTTTACAATTTTACAGTTTTTACGTTTGATAGCGTTCATTATTATAATTTAAAATGATTGCGTTTCGCTTCACTCATATATTTTTCTCCAGTAGGCCTAAGCAATACGGCAGTATTAACCGTTACCAGATTTGGATGCTTGCTTCTCAAGTTGATGCTTCTAGAAGCTGTTGATCTTTTTTCAAATTTATCCAACAAATATCTAGGCAAAAGACTATTCAGGGCTTTAAACAACAGAAGATATTTTGAAAGTTTTTTTGTTTTTTCAACTTTCAACCAATGCAGTTCCTTCAATGTTTGAGTGACATGATTAAATTTTGAGCTTCTTCCAACAAAAACTTTTGCAGCCCTTTTTTGAATGGATTGAATGACCGGTATTAATTAATTTTAGAGATTATAAAAAAGGCTGTTGCAATAATCTAGTCATGCACGAATGAATGCGGCGTGTACCAAGGTGCTTGCGGTAGATCCATCGAGATATCTGCGAAAGCAATATATTCTTTGTGGTTGATACGAACATAATGACGAAAGCATTCTCAAATGATTTTCCATTGACAATTTTGAATACAATATAACACCTAGGTTAATAGCATGTCTACGAAATTTTATATGCTGGTCATCAACACACACTGAATTTATATTTTTTCCAGTAAGGTTCAGTAGTCCACCCGATCAAATGCGGCACTCATATCAAAGAACGACAACAATGACGCCTTTTGTTCACCAACGGAGCTGTATAGTCCTGAAAAAAATGTACCAGTGTGCTTTCGGTGTAATGATGACGTTTATAACCTGATTGGTTAACTGGCATTAGGCCGTGCGAGCCTAATGTCGAATACCTTAAAAGTTGAATTGCCTATAACACTTTCAACAAGTTTAGATACAAAAAAATGAAATCAGGCGATAATTTTTTAAATACTTTTTATTAGTTTATTATTATTCATTTCCTTCAAAAGATGAAATACAATGGCATGCTTGCAGGAGGAAAAAACACAAGTTTTTGAACATAAATTTATAAAACTCGTAATGGAAATAATGAATAAATCAGTTTTTTTATAATATACGTAGGAATAACATACAGTAGACATCTCTTGGTTGGGGAGCGAAGAAATGTTGTAATCTCGTACTCTGTAACCGGAGAATTATAAAAACCAATTTTCTGAATTAATCCTGTTATGAAAAATTTGGCTATCTGATTCACCAAAAGCTGATTTTATATCATAAAATTTCTCGTGGAAAATTTTCGAAAATTTTTCGGACTTTAAATCATGGGACACATCGTTATTATAATTTTTGCAGATTACTTTGTTAATCACATTCCACAGATTTTTAGAACTATTATTGTCTTTTTTAGATAAATCTACTCCAAAACTGCTTGCATTTTTTAGCAAAACATTTATTTTAGTCCCAGACCATTCAGACTATACATCTTTGTCATCTTTAATAGAATTTGTCGATGTTGTAATAACCGTTAAAGAATTGATTTAAAAAAACGCTAAAAAAAAAAATTTGATTTTGAAGGTTGATATACACGAACTAACTAGAAAAAGATCTAGAGACTTTATAGAAAAATTTAAATAGCACATATTAAAAAACAGGGGTCAAGACTTTGAAGATGAAGAGATCCACATATTTTCGGAAAAGAAATAATTATTGAGAAAAACTCTTTGAACGTAGTAATAAATCAAAACGTCTATGGAGTTCTAATAACTAGTTGTGTAGAGATAATTTTTTTGATGCATCCAGAATATTAGTCGAAATGAATTGTTGTTGTTGATGTAGTCAAAAGATAGGATAGGAAATTTAAAGGGAGCAAAGGCATAACATCATCTCTCTCTTTTGCGTTTAACAGCTGTTGGATGTATTTCGGAATGTGCATTAAATGAGTCTTAAATTGAGCTTAAATCATTGAAAGCTGAGTTTGTGTCCCATATGTTGGCTATTTAAAGCGAAGATCTTACTTTTCAGCAATTTGCGTGTTCACAACAGTTAACAACAAACATCAACCGGCTCAGTCACCCTTGGGATTACAGAAACGAAATGTATCCATCTTCGCTCACGATGGATCAATCAATTAATCAATGATCCTCCTTTGTTCATCAGGGGACCGTCAAGACCGATGGTGTACATCTAAGCATGCTTTTTACATTTCTTTTATTTTTTCTTTCTAAAACCCTTTTCTATCTTTGGCCAGCTTTAATGAATTCAGAATATTAACACCAGTCCATTAAGTAATGTCGTCTATCCATTTCTTTGCAGGTCTACCAACTTTTTCTTCCAATCTCCTTTCCTCATTAGTACCATTTTAATCAATCTCTCTTCCCTCATTCTACAAATGTGGCCAAAAAATCCCAATTTTCTTTCTCTGACTTTGTCATATACACTTTTCTGTCTTCCAAGTTGATTTCTGATGGTTTCGTTCTTTTCTTTCTGCCTTCAACTGATTCCCAACAAATTTTAGTAACACTTTATCTCAAATGCTTCCGGTCTGTCTTTGCCTTTTTTCTCTATTGTCCATGTCTCACATGCATAGAGCAAGCTTGGAAAAACGCAAGATTTTCTCATTCTCAACTTTGTTTTCATAGATATATTTCCACTTTTCCATATTTCCTTCAATGATGCGAAGATTCCATGGGCTATTGCTATCCTGTCAATTTCTTTTGTGCAGTTGATATATATGTATATATATATATTATATATATATATACATATTATATATATATATATATATATATATATATATATATATATATATATATATATATATATATATATATATATATATATATATATATATATATATTGAATTTATTTCATGCTGCTATTATTATATAAATAGTATTTATTTAACTGATATATTATAACTATTTAATAAAAAATTGTCGAGAAATTTTATCGAAAATATTATTTTAAACTTTGAAAAGCACCTCACTATAAAAATAATTCTTGTTTTTTTATCCACAACCATTTTTAATATCGCATCCGACTTCAATACTGAAATAAATTTGTTTTTAATCGGTTTTTACGATTTGGTAGTTGTTAGGGCAGGATATCTCGGTCACGAAGTATGGTTATGCTTTCAAATTAAATTATTGGTGAACAGAAAATTTCTTTGTTAGTAATTGAATTGTTTAATATGGCGTTAAAATAAAATGCATTATTATAATTAAATTTAAATTGAATTAATTAATTAAAAATTAATGATCAGTCCTTACTTTTACTTTTACTACTCTGTTTAGTAATTTAGTTTTAATAGTTTAATTTTATTTAGTAGTTTGACATACTTAACCTTTTTTTTATTACATTTGACTTAATTTTTAAAATTTTATTAATATATTGGGATATTCTTTTTTAATTTTAACATTATCATTTTATTGTATTATAAATCAATGTTAAGTAAAAATTAAAAAATTTGAATGGAGTTAACTAAGTCTAAGAAAGAGTATTTAGACCTAAGTATTAAATTTATTTTATTAAAAATCACTGAATCTATGTTCTATACATGTTGAAACTGAGACTGGACTAAATATAAATAATAAAAAACTACAATGTTGTGTAGTTTGGTCTCTTGTTGTTGTACATATACATTGTAATGACATAATAAGTAGTGTTATTCTGTTGGCTTTGCCTTTTTTAAGTTTAATTTAAATCAAATTATGATTTTCTCAATGAAAATAGAAAGTCATCCATATAAGTGATAGTAGTAATAGAGTAAATTGAGAAATGGGTTTTATTCATTTTTCTATTGTATATTAAATTTATCAGCTTGTCAAAGTAAATTTGATTAAACTAACAAATTATTTATAAATAAAGTTATATAAATGCAATAAATAGTTACATGAGGCCATAAGTATATGCAGACATCAAATCAATCAAACTATCCACAGTTTGTCTGTGTTTTATTGCTAAATTGCTTAGTGGTTTTCTATGATAAAACTTTAACATAACCTATAATTATCATCAAATTATTTAAAAAATGGAAAAAAATCATAGAAATATTATGATCTATATAAATGTTAAATGTTTGAGGTTAAAATTTGTTTTTACAGACTGCTTTTGTTTGAACATTTCAGACTAATTTTTAATAATGTAAAATTCATTGTTTATAAATATTTGTTTCCAAAATATTTAGCTTGATTGAAATGTCTAACTCGAATTCTTCATCACAATTCTACACTGTTGAAGTTGGAGATTCATCATTTACAATTCTTAAAAGATACCAGAATATAAAACCCATTGGGTCTGGGGCACAAGGAATAGTATGGTATGTGCATTATACATTTTTTTGTCTGTTCATACACTCAAAAGTTGTTGAAATGGTTTGAATCTTATTGAACCCTTTATACCAATCTTTTCAAATTTGGGTTAATACATAATACTTGGGTCAACACTAGAGTCAATACATGAGTCCAGTTTTTTTTCTGGGTTGAGAGAACCATATGATTTAAAGTGTTGTCAACTGTCTAAATCATTTGTTTTTTTTTTGCTTTGTGATTAACTATTTCATAAGAGAGTATTGAAATCCTTTATGTTATTCTATTTTCAGTTTAACACACAGTTTCAGTTTTATTGAACCTTTAAGAATTTTATTCACATTTTTGTTTTTTCTATATGTAATTTTCTTCAGTTGATCATATCACTTATTTTCTTTTTCGATAATTAGATGAAGAATTTTTTCTTTCAATTAAACTCAATTGTTTTTGATTGTGTTTATAATTCTATTGAAAATAATTGTTTCATCAAATGATTATTGTTGCTTACAGTGCTGCTTTTGATACAGTCACATCAGAAAATGTTGCAATAAAAAAGTTAAGTCGTCCATTTCAAAATGTGACCCATGCCAAACGAGCATACAGGGAGTTTGTCCTCATGAAACTTGTCAACCACAAAAATGTATTTTGTAACTTTTTTAATTATATTTTGTAAAAGATTCACCTGTTTTTTTTTTTTGTCACTAGTTAATTATTTTGATGTTAAATTTTTCTAATGCAAAGTTGTCATTTAAATTTTATTTGATTAATGACCAGAGATCATCGAATTACGAAATTTATTGACTATTTCATAGACTTATTAAATTTATTTGATTATTGATCAGATCATCGGCCTATTGAATGCTTTTACTCCTCAAAAGTCGTTTGAAGAATTCCAAGATGTGTAAGCTGTTAATTCAGACATCCTCTGTTCTAATTTTTTTATTTCTATTTTTTTGTTGTTGGTTTATCTATTTAAATGGAAAAATCATATAAATCAATTTTATGTATGGAATTTTAGTAACTTGAGCTTAATGTATCGACAGAGAAGTATTTGCATCATCACTTGATTGACAACAATTTTAAAAGTTTTCTGTATGAAATGTTGACGTGTAATGTCAAGTGTCAATGTTACTTTCGCTGCTTCAATTAAAGCTTAAAGTGGAAAGAATGGTAAAGGGAAATTTCAGTTTGAGATTTCATGATTTTCATATTTCATTCATCTTGTTTTTTTGCATCACATCAGACTATATATATATATATATATATATATATATATATATATATATATATATATATATATAACTAAGTATTCACTTTAAACAAACAAGGAATCAACAAAGTAGAGGCACAGTATATATATTTGAGCATCTGGGCACAAACACAACATATTAATTCAAACACCGAAGATGGTATAGGAAAACCGAAAAAAGATTTTCTGTTCTATCATGCATAAAATAAACAAAAATTTTGCTTTTGAACTAAAGAAATTTGAAAATGATTTATGATCAACCGTTATAAAAATCGAAAAGTTAAATTGTAAGTTAACTAACACAGAACATGCAGTGATTTTCATTAATAGTTGCTTTTCTGACAGTCTTAATACAATATATATATATATATATATATATATATATATATATATATATATATATATATATATATATATATATATATATATATATATATAACATGTACTGTACATTCTCTCTGAAATGTGTGCATTTTTTTTAAAACTTGTATGTTATATTTTTTCTACTGACACTTGATTACTTCTATTAAAAATATTTTCTTATAAATGCTGCACTGTTCATTATGTTACTAGGTGCCTAGGTGATAAAATGGTTATTTTACAATAAGTAGATGACTTTAGATGTATCTGTGCTAATTTACCAGATACATTTTGAGGAAGCTAAACATTGCCAGTTGCGTGTTTGATAATGAATGAATCTAATGACTGTTCTGTTGTTAGATATCTCGTAATGGAACTGATGGATGCCAACTTATGCCAAGTGATCCAAATGGATCTTGACCACGAGCGTATGTCATATCTTCTCTACCAAATGCTTTGTGGCATAAAACATCTCCACTCTGCTGGAATCATACACAGGGTAGGCCTTTCAAACTTCTCTTCATCAGCTTAATAATTTCTGTTTTTTTCTTAACAACTTTCATGTTTTGAAAAGTTCAAAGCAAAATTTGTTGAATAAAAATTTTTATCTGTTTATGTTTCTCATGCTGATAAGTTCATTCATTGTATCATTTTCTACTCTACCTGAAGCAGTCTCCAAACTTTTCTTTTATATGAAATGTAATACATAAATTTGTGGATATTGCTGGTCTAAAATTTTTCATCATATGTGTCAAGCCATTAAACATTATGTGGAAGTTTTTTAATTTTAGGATTTAAAGCCGTCCAACATAGTAGTCAAGAGTGATTGTACGTTGAAGATCCTAGATTTTGGCCTGGCACGAACAGCTGGTACGAGTTTTATGATGACTCCGTACGTGGTCACCAGGTACTACAGGGCTCCTGAGGTCATTCTGGGCATGGGCTACACAGATAATGGTCGGTTCAATGATCATTAATTATGCTGTTTTAATTGCAAATAGAAATAAAATAGAAATTAATCATTTTTCTAACAGAGATTAAACATTTTTAGAGGTTTTTTGACGTATTCTAATTAAAGTGTTAGAGTCTGAGATTTTTATCAAAAAATATCCAGACCTTGAATATTTCATAGCTATGTGATTATTCACGACTAGCGGAAATACATTCTGTGGGTAAATCTCAATATACGCCACATCGTGAATAAACGTTCTTAGAAACTGTTCGTCATTTTTACTTGGTCTCTTTTTACCTACGTTTTCCTTCTCTGAACTCATTGTTGTCAATTTTTTTGACTTCCAAACAAGAGTCAGAATTTTTTGATGGGCCGAGTCATAGTCTGATATTTTTCATTAAGCTCCGAAAAGTGTTAAGGATTTGAAAATTTGTTTATTCTAAAGATTTTTTCAAGATCGTGTTTCTTTAGTTAGAGGATGTATGTGTGTAGTAATATGCTGATGGTTCAGAAATACAGCCAACTACACCCTAGCGAATTTCCGTAAATTTTTGCAAAAAATTTGATTTCTAGATGTAAAAAAATCGCTAGAACTAACGTTAAAATGGAACAGATGACTTCATCGTCGTTGCTCCACGGAAAAAGCGCCCGAACGGCAAATCTCTCAATGAGAAAAATTCTGCATCATCATTGATTCACGCTCATCGAATGATTTCAAAATATCGGCAAACAAACCAAAAGGATTTTTGTTTGATTGTTTTATAGCGTTTTAGCACGGTTATCGGCTATCTTCCCGCCGTTAGGAAACTGTTACAGCATGCAAGGCAGTAGTATAAAATTAAACAAATAAGTAAATAAATAAATAAATGAACGGAGAAAGAAAAATGTTTAAACATGAAAAGTAAAATAAAATAAATAATAAATACTAATAATAAAATAAACGTCAACACACTCATCATCAACTTCAACTCAAAAACTTTCACTAACTGTAAGCGTTCAGTAAGCGTTCAGTTGTATGTCTTCTAATTTACAGATGTTGTTGTTGTTTTGTGTTTTTTGATTGTTATTATCGTCTTTATTGATGTTCATGTTGTTAATGTTGTTGATTTAATTTTATTCTCATATGTATTTATGTCCTAAACGTTGTTGATGATTCCTATTACTATAACGGATGGAATTATTTTGTTAGTGGTGTTTTGGTCTTGAAATAAAATTCAAGTGTCGTTTGGAAAGTTTATGTTTTCTTCTTAGCTAGTCATATTTGTTACATTTCATTAGAATATTTTGATTTCACCATTTGGATATTCGTAACAGTTTGGATATGACTTTTTATTGAGTATCTACGAGTTTGTTAAATTTGTGTGTCCTATTTTTATTCTGTAGTTGTTATATTCATTCCAATGTGTCCGCCATTTTTTTGTGATGTGACGTTTCACAAATTCTGTATCTGTATTTAAGGATTTGTGGAGCGCCCCTATTGAATAACTTCAGAAGCGCTAGCTTCACTCGCGAATGTCAAAACAAATGATGTTTCAAACGTTTCTTGAAAACATGTCAGCTCATATTGTTGAATTTTTTCAAATTTACAGGTAGTGAGTCCCAGATATTTGCAGACGAAACAGAAAATCTTCTCTTCTCAAAACGAGACGAATTGAATCTAGGAAGCATAAGATCACCATTATCGCAGGATCTCAGTCGACTCCGATTTGCCATTTCTGAAACTAACTGTAGTTGTTCCCTCAGATAAGTTGGAGCGTCACCCGCAAGACAATCTCTGACTAAGAGCTAATTTGAAAACGATTCTTTCTGGCATGCGGAGCCAGTGTAAATCATCTCTGATGTATGATGAATTTGAATCGAATTTCGAAAAGCCAGCAACAAGTCTCGCCGCAGCACTCAGAAAAGACTGCAAATCATCACGAAGGGATGAGTTGACACCAAACATAATCACATTGCAGTAGTCAATTCTTTTACAGATAAAACTAAAAACGAGTGCTTCTGTTGACTCAACTGTCAAAAAACTTTTGATGGATCTTATTCTGTGGAGTTGATGCTTTTCAAATGAAAGATGAGGATCCAGTATGACTCCGAGATTCGTTACTGGATTTTTTTGTCATTTAATATTGAGTTTTCTTGACGTTGAGTTTGAGCATGTTAGATGACATCCAGTGACCAACCAAGTCCACTGCATTCGACACGGCAGAGGAGACTTGAAGTGATGAGTCAGGTAGTCCAAATCCGTAAAGTTGAATATCATCAGCATATAGGTGACAACCAAGACCAGCTGATTCGACGACGTGGACGATATCTGCAGTGTACATGATGTATAGCAAAGGACCAAGTACTGAACCTTGTGGTACACCGCGGATCAATTCTGAAAAAGCCGTGCCCAGACCACAACCATCAACGCCGACAACTTGAGACCTGTCTGTTAGGTAGGACTGGAACCACCTGAGAGCATCTCCACCAATACCAAATGAAGTAGAAAGACGCTTCAATACAATCTGGTGGTCGACTGTGTCGAAAGCAGCACTTACATCGAGAAGTGATGTGTGATGTGCCAGCAATGATATGTTACCAGCATCAACGGCGTCACAGACATCCGAAACCTCCTTCAAGATCGCTGTCTCAGTTGAATGTGCTCGACGAAAACCTGATTGAACTTTTGGAAGTAGTGAGTTTTTGTTTAGGTAAGCGAGGAGCTGGTGAGCGACAATTCTTTCAATTGTTTTGGATACGAAGGTAAGGTTCGAAATGGGTCTGTAATTGGCCACAACGTTTCTCGCTAGACCAGGTCTCTTCAACAACGGATTAACTGCTGAAATGTTGATGTTTGCAAACTTTTATTGACCAGGTTAGATAAAAATGGTAGAAGTTCCAAATTCTACCAGGAGACTTGTTGGAATAAGGTCGAGGCAGCATGTTTTACTTGAACAAGACAAAATGATTGACTTTAAATCTGCTTCGGAAATACTCTCAAACTGGTGGAAACGGCTATCGGTCGACCTGAATTCTGGCGGATCAACCATCTCATCAGCTGACAGTTCGGATTTTGATTTTAGATGAATTAAAAACTCTTAAGCTGTGATTGAGCAAAATATTCTACTGAAATGTAACAAATATGACTAGCTAAGAAGAAAACATCAACTTACCAAATGACATTTGAATTTTGTTTCAAGACCAAAACATCATTAACAAAATAATTCCATCCTAATAGGAATCATCAAATTGTTTAACATTGTTATGTTGTGTGGTAGTTGTATAGTGAAAATTGAGTATGGGTGGGCCAAGTAGCTGCTTTGTCTGCTTGTTAGTTTTATTCTATGCCTATATGACTTGTATCCATGTTATTATTAATGCGATTGATATTGCTGCTGCTGTTGTTGAATTGTTACTTTTTGAGCCATCAGTATATATTTATGTATAGTTTACATACAACAAACAACAACACACGTTTAGACGACATTTTCCCCGAGATCGGGGGTTGCCGTTTGGCTACCTATGATGAAACCGAAATACCCCTCGACGCCATCCACATCTGTCACTCGCCTCAGTATCACGCAACCCCACTTTCACCCTGTCCTTCTCCACCTGCTCTCTCCATCCCAATTGCGGACGACCCCTTCCTACCACTCTTTCAACCTCGAACTCCAACGCTCGCCTAATCCCGACCCTTTCATCCCTTCTCAACACATGTCCATACCATCGCAATCTCGATCTCCTTATCAATGTCACAATGTCTTCATTCAGTCCCATCATTGACATCAGCTCTGTACTACTCCTCTTATCCTTCACTTTAACCCCACACATCATCCTCACCATAGCTCTTTCAGCCCTCTGCAGTACACTTTCCTCCTCTCTCCTCAACACCCAAGTTTCACCACCATATACCATCGCTGCTTATCCCCTAAGTAAACCCTGCTTTCCATTCTTTCAATACCACCATTCAACCCCGTCCTTGCGTCCGTCCTATTAATCACACCATGAACACATTTCTTACATTTAAACGTGCCTTCCACCTTTTTCAGTGCTCCCCTCACACCACTACATCTCTTATGCACCCATTTCGATACCTGGTATGTTGCAGCATAGTATGGTTGTGATGGATGTGACATCAAAAGAAATGGGGAGGAGGAAGAAGGATAAGTTTGTGGCAAAGAGAAAGACATGGAAGTTGCAGGATGCAGAGGTGAGGAAGGCATTTGAAGTGAAGGTGGCTGAAAATTGGGAGAGTGGTAAGGATGGAGATGTTTGGGAGAGATACAGGGACTGTGTGTTGGCTACGGCAGATAAAGTATGTGGATGGACGAAAGGAAAGTGTAGGCATGGTGAGACGTGGTGGTGGGATGAAGATATAAGAAGGGTTTTGGAAGAAGGAGAGGTTTAGGGTATGGAGAAGGGACATGACGGAGGAAGCGGAGTCTGAGTATAGGAAGGCTAAGAAGGTTGCAAAACAGGCAGTGGCAACTGCAATGACGAAAGCATCAGATAGGTTAATGAAGGAAATGGAATTTGATGTGAGTTCGAGGAAAATGTTCAAAGTAGCAAAGCAGTCAATGAGGGATAGGAAAGATGTTATAGGGAATGGATGTGTTTGGGATGGATCTGGCAAGTTGTGCATAGATGAAGAGAAAAAAGCTCAGGTGTGGAAAGCTCATATGGAAAGGTTGATGAATGAAGAGAATGAGTGGGATGGAGATGTGGAATCCGCGGTCACACACGGACCTATAGAGAAGGTGACGATGGAGAAAGTAGAGAAAGCAGTTAGAGAAATGAAACTAGGTAAGGCGACAGGGGTTTCGGAAGTGGCGGCAGAACATATAAAAGCGAGTGGGGTGATAGGAATTGAAGTTATGATGAGAATTGCTAACAGTATGTTTGATGATGAAGGTATACCTGAGGATTGGCGACACAGTGTGTTGGTGCCGTTGTATAAGGCAATATAAATGGTTATACAATGGTAATGATGAAATGGAAGTATGAAATAAATATATAAGGTAATGAA